TGTTTTCTAAATTTTTATCGCTTAGAACTTAACAGGTTGTTTTTTTGTACTGTGCCTTTAAGACTGATGTTGGAAATAGCATGTGTGGTCTGTTCTGAGTGGTTACCCTGCACTGTGACTTACTCAAAAAGCTGTCTGAGCTTAAACACTTCTTATAGCTTCAGTATGAATTGGTGGAGCTAAACTGCTGTAGGTTAAAGGTAAATGAATTTGTTTTTGTGAGACAAAAACAGGTTTTTGTGACATCACAGAAACTAAAGCAAAATGTGCTGGTTTTGCAGCTTAGTTTTTCATATATGGACTGTATAGATTATTGAGTGCAACTTTAACAGTGTTTACACACAACATCAAACTCTTATTTCACAAAACAGGGAAAACTGTTTTTTTTTTCTTTAACACTGAAGTTCATCAGAGCCAAACTGACACTGTGTATCATCACACCGTTTGTAGTTCTGGGGAAAAAGACAAAAGTTGAGGTTTGTCCAACAATAATGCTCCTACTCCCTTACCTCTCCTCCTATTGGACAATCCTGACTTTTGGCTCACGTTATCTAGAAACTGAATCCAACTTTGTGAAATAACCATGCATGAACGACCAAACTAGCAAATGTATATATCCGAAAAAAATCCCACACCTCTAGTAAGGTACGTGATGCAGGTGATACAGGTGACAAGAGGAAGTTCATCCAAAACTGTAAACAACCCACCAAAACCTCGTAAGCCTAGAACTTTTCTGCTAACCCTCATGACGAGGTTTGAAAATGACTCGTTACTTCACTTCATGATTCCTGTGTGCTAAGCTTCGCTGAAATGCTGTAAACTGCACGCCTCGTCCTCCACCAACACGAGCGTGTGAGCGGCCATACCTGGGCACACAGCTGGGAGAGGAGCGGTCGATCTCCCACGTCGCGAACAGGTTCATCTGAACCGGGCGACTCGAAGAAATGGTGACCGACCTGGAGTGCTGCAGGTGGGGGGACGGGAGACCCGTCCGCTGGAGCCCCCCGCGCTCCGACATGTTGCTGCCGTCGAGGAACGTTACGAAAACACGAAGCGCTAGCAGAAGTGGTCCGAGTCAAGCTTCGCTCTCGGCTGAGCGCATCTTTAGGATAACTCAGTGTGAGTGTCGCGGTGCCGCCTCCTCCTCCTCCTTCACGCCTTGCTTCATACTTCACTGTATGGCGGTGTTTTTATCAAAGCAGCGCTACGACACATTCCGAGTCTAAACTACCTTTGCTCTCTGGCGAGTTTAAAGCGTTTTTATTCACCAGCACGAAGCGAGAATCTGTCTTTTCACTGCACCACAGAAAAGCTGCGCCTCGCGGGGAAGGCGCGCGAACGCTTTGGCCGCGAGCGCGCGCGCGTGCGCGTTTGTTTGCCCTGCATTTCTTCTTATGCAGAGCACGACGCTTCCCGGAACATTTCCTCTAACGGGCTACGGTACGGGCTGGCGCCCAAGACGATGTATTAGTAATGGACGGTGTTTTGGAGGATGTAATGGACGACGCTGGTGTATGAATTATTAATAGCCTAAGTTATTTAGAAAAAAAGATAACTATAAGCTACGTCTGTTTGTTATGCTATGCATTAGCCTACTGCAGTAAATCGCAGCTGTCGTTTAATCGATGCTGAAGTTGTTTTCTTATTCGAATTTTCGGTTCCACCTTAAATGGTGCAGCAGGTACATTCGGTTTTCCCGTCACAGACGCCGGAATGTCACTGCTGCACCATTTAAGTATTTAAGGTGGGAAGGAAAGTTGGAATAAGAAGCGGGCGAATAAGAAACCAACTGCGGGTTTATTATTAAGCAATCAAGAACCCATGTATTTTGCAGGGGTTACATTCTAAATTCATCTCTCTCTCTCTCTCTCTCTCTCTCTCTCTCTCTCTCTCTCCCCAGCTGTGGTTGTGGCAACTGCATCTAAAATGCTCTTTCCACCCACGCTGGAATCATTTATCTCTTGCTCACAGACTGGAACAGGAGGAAATGGGGGGGATGTGACATCACGTCCTGCAACCTTCTGCTCTTTGGGGATTACAGCTCAGGGTAGAAGTTTCCCCTTCACACTCATAAAGGACCAGCGTGCTTTTCTCAGGTCCTACCTTAAAGAATCTTTCAGGCTTGCTTCCTGAAGTCAGGATTAAGGGGTAATTGTCCCTGGGAGAACCATACTTTCAACAGACCCTCAGCCACATTAAAGAACCCATATCCAACATTCTTCTTGAATTTTATTTCTTTGCCTGAGGTGCACTTATGACTTTTGTGTGCTGTTATGTGGCAAAAACATAATGGTCATAATTCATTTTTACATGACCATTTTCCAATCTCTCTTAATTAATTACAGCAAAATATGCTGTTTCTGTTATTATGACTCTAAGACTGATATATGTTCTGATTGGCTGCCTTGTATTGTGTTTTGTTAAAGCAGACCAGGTTGAAAAATTCCCTGTAACTTTAATATGAATGGGTGGGGCTAAACTGCAGTAGGCTGAATAGGTTGATCTATATAAAATATGTATTTTGTGACACCGCAAAAACAATTCATTCAAATCAAGCTTTTTTCAGTTTAGTTTCTGAACTCTATGGACTGGTGAGTGAATAATTTTGAAACCATAAAAATGTTTACATACTTCATAAAATAAGAATATTCTGTTTTTTTATTATATTATGCACCCTTTAATAATCTTTCCTGTTCTGTGATTTACAGGAAGACACTCTCATCCTCAGCAGCATAACAGTCTAATGAACCTTCTTGTACATACCTGTTCTATTTGATGAAACATGCTTGAGTATTTTTAGAGCAGGGCTTTGCACAGCATAGTGTTAAGTCTTAGCAAGAGAAAAGCTGTGTGCTCCACTGTAGAAATGCAACATGTGCATGTAGACCCATTCAGTAACAGGTGGGAAAATATTAGCAGAGTGCGTGTGGAAGTGTACAGTGCCCCGGGGTGAGAAGTGACTCAGCTATGTGCTGTTTGTTCCACTTTGTTCCAATCCCACCTCCTTTTGACCCTGATGACAGTGGGGCATAGTAACTTGACACCAAGAGTCACTGACGTAAACACACCTGTCCAGGTAGCTATGTGACCTTTCAGGTATGAAGTGTCAAGGACCATCTGTGGAAATGGGGTTGTACAAGAGGATTAAGTGCTCTTTCTCTCTCCCCCTTCCACTTCTCAAAGCTGCAGCCTCCTGTTTATCCTGATAGATCTGTGAGATGTAGGTCATATGTAACAATGCTGTCAGGTGACAGTCATGCTGCTGCAGCTCCCTGCTGCTCCCTGGTGTGGAAAATATGAAATAATCCAGCCTTTTATCCAGTAATAATACTATGAGTATTATTTTGGCAGATTTGAGTGTTGTTGAGATTGTGAAATTGTATTATTACTAAATTACATTTCCAAGACAAAAATCTTTGGCTTTTTCCTCCTTACATTTTCAATTAGACCTTCAATTCACAAATTCACACAAGTTCCTCTCTCTCTCTCTCTCTCTCTCTCTCTCTATATATATATATATATATATATATATATATTTATATATATGTGTGTGTGTATAAAGAGAGAGAGAGAGAGAGAGATTGAGTCCCATAAACTCAAGCACATAGCCATGCAGTCTGTCTTTACAAGCATTTGTGAAAGAATTGGTCGTTCTAAAGAGCTCACTGAATTGAGTGTGGTACAGTAACAGGATGCCACCATTGCAATAAGTCAGTTTGCGAATTTTTTTCCCTCCTAGATATTCCACAATCAACTGTGAGTGATATTATTAAAAAGTGGAAGCGATTAGGAACCACAGCAACTTAGCCACAAAATGGAAGATCACATGAGGTTACAGAGCGGAGTTGGCGAGTGCTGAGGCACATAGTGCGTAAGAGTTACCACTGCTATGCTGACTCAATACCTGCAGAGATCCAAACCTTCTCTGGTATTAACATCGGCACAAAAACTGTATGCTGGGAGCTTCATGGCATGGGTTTCCATGGCCGAGCAGCTGCATGCAAGCCTTACATCACCAAGCATAATGCCAAGCTTCGGATGGAGTGATGTAAAACACGCTGCCACTGGACTCTGGAGCAGTGGAAATGTGTTTTGTGGAGTGACTAATCACGCTTCTCTATCTGGCAGTCTGATGGACATATCTGCTTTTGGCGAATGAACATTACCTGCCTGACTGCAGTGTGCTAACTGCAGTTGCTTTGGTGGAGGAAAGATAATGCTATGGGGTGTTTAATGCTAAACACCTCAGTGTCTCTGCTGGACTGAGAATAGTCCATCAACCAAAAATAACCAGCCCTGTGGGTAGCGTCCTGTGACCACTGATGAAGGACTAGAGGATGACCAACACAAACTGTGTAGCAGCAGATGAGCTATCGTCTTTGACTTTACATCTACAAGGTGGACTGATAAGGTAGGAGTGTCTAATAGAGTGGACAGTGAGTGGACACAGTGTTTAAAAACTCCAGCAGCACTGCTGTGTCTGATCCACTCATACCAGCACAACACACACTAACACACCACCACCACGTCAGTGTTACTGTAGTGCTGAGAATGATCCACCACCCAAATAGTATCTGCTCTGTGAGGGTCCATGGGGGTCCTAACCACTGAAGAACAGGGTAAAAGGGGGCTAACAAAGTATGCAGAGAAACAGATGGACTACAGTCTGTAATTGTAGAACTACAAAGTGCACCTATATAGTAAATGGAGCTGATAAAATGGACAATGAACGTAGAAACAAGGAGGTGCTCATGATGTTATGCCTGATCGGTATATAAATGAGGACCGGTACCCTGATTTTGTTTGAAATAGAGCATGAACAGGCCGGAAAAATGTGAAAAAACTCCCCCTCGTGCCCAGTGGTTTATACTGTTTTTGAAGGTCCGTTGCTTTCCTGCACTGACACTCATTTGCCGCTAGATGGAAGCAAAAGCTCAAAGTTAGTCTTTGTTATTAGAGCTCTGCGGTTCAGCTCTCAGCGTAAAGGCTGTAAACGGCGTTACAGCAGCAGCTGCGACAGTACGTTATGCTGGTCAGAAGGAAAAGGGGAACCATAGCGTAAGATCTTCCATGAAGAAACACTACGCGTTTATAGCTTAAACCGACGTTTACTTAATTTTTTATATACTGCGAAAAAACCGTAGTGAAGAATTGTGTCAGTTGTTGAGTGTTTGATTTGAAGCTTTTGCCTCGTGCAGAGATCACAATAACTGGAAGCTCGCACCCCACACAGTGAGTGTGTTAGTGCTGGTCAGAGGGACAGCTATGGCTAATTCAAGAATAAGCTAAAAGATTTATAGAGAAAACCCTGAGGAAGATTTCACCTTTGACTGGTGCTATAAAGAGAAGGAGAATACCGGCACCAGAGTAGGTAAACGTTCTTCAACATATTATTATACTATTGTTTTCTATATTTACACTTTGTCCTTAGACTTTCACAGGGGAAATTATTTACCTAGTCTGATTAACTGAATTGTACATTGTACAGGTGGCACGGACTGATATCTCTCCTTCAAAAACTACTTGCTATTTTTAATTGAAGCACTTCACTTAAGATGAGCATCTATAAGTAGCAATATTGTTGCAGTATTAAATATCATCATGATCATGATCCAAATTCAGTTACTTGTGTTACACAGCCTTACACTATAGCTTGCATCTCCACTGATATAAATACCAACAGGGCTAGCTTCTAATATTACCTAATAACTTATAATAATAACTAGATTCTGCACAAGTGACATGTAACACTGTTAACATCCAGTGGTTCTCTGCATTAATTTGGTTGGAAAACAAAATATTGTCAAACAGGCACACTGGCATCATTCCTCTGGACAAGCTCATCATTTTTCTCTCTACCGGAGTGTAGATCTAACGTACCGGAGTGTGAGAACTACAGTTGCATGTGTCCTAACATCCTTTGTCAGGATTCCATATATAATATTTCCGTGTGGTGTTTTAAGTATGTATATGTAGTTAACAAGTTGGTAATGTTCTTTTTGTATAACACATAATTTATTGCAATATTTTCCACTGTATACATTTTTGAATGAATCATAGATCAGAATGATTGTAAAAGGGAATGGTTAAAAGAAGCAATAAAAAAACTATTTGGCGCATAAATGAGAAAGAAAGAATGCTAATTTGAATCATATTGGTGTATATTTAAATGCTTACAGATCTCCATTTATCGGCCCAAGGCTAGCTTAAACTACTCAAGCATTCTACAAAACTCTATTCCCAATAACGGTAGGACAGTAGGCTATGTGAAATGCTAATAAAACAGGAAGCGGTGATTAGTAAATCATGTTTGACCTGTATTAAATGAAAAATAGTACAAAAACATGATATTGTTTTACACTATGGACATTTTGTTTGATAAATATAATCTCATTCCAAGTTTGATGCCAGCAACATGTTCCAAAAAAGTTGAAACAAGAACATGTTCATCACTTTTTGAACGTGGCTTGGCATTATCATGTTGAAATAAGCTAAGTTGAATTTTTTATGCTGGTAACGGTCTGGATGGTGATTGTCTTTTTTGGGTCAACGTCATGGGCATCTATTGATGGTTTTTGGCATTGCTGTTTATGCACAACGATTTCTCTGGATTCCCTGAATCTTTTGATGATGTTCTGCACCGTGGAGAGTGAAATATCTCAAATACTTGCTCTCCCATTTTTGAGGAACAGTTCTTAAACTGTTTTATTCAAACACACATTTTTTGATAAGCTTCGACCCATCCTTGCTCGTAAAGGACTAGACCAGAGGTCAGCATCCCAAGAGGAGCCATTTTGTCCTTTCAGCAAAAATCAAACCACCTTGGGAGCCGCAACATTTTATGTCCATTTTACCATCTTGGCTGTAAATATGTCTTAGCATGTGCTAATGTGTTAGTATAGGCTAACAAATTTAATATAAACAAAAACGCAGACTTACTTCACTCTGCTTTAAGCTTTAGCTCAGCTATAGTCGCTTTTCTTGCATCTCTGACAGGAAACATTTCCAAAAGTAGAATAGTTTTTTGTAAAATGTCTCTCAACATTCGATTTTTTAAATGGCCGAAGTCTGCTTCTCATTCGCCAGCTTCTTGTTCGAACCATATAAGGTGGGATGGGAAAGTTTGAATGAGAATCTGACTTCAGCTTCGTGACTTTTTAGTGTTTGACAGTTTCTCGATGCAGATTAAACTTATAAGGAAACCAGGTGGAGTGATTATAAACGCAAATAAGTCCATTCATCTCCAAATTATCCTTGTTCGTCTTAAATCTTTTTCTTTGCCATTTCATTTGCTACTAGCTAAGTGAGTTTGTTATCTGCGTTGCAATGTGACCAGCAGTCTGCGCGCCAACCTTCAGGGTTAAAGGGTGAATTAGCAGTTATACATTAATTCCAACATTTAAGGCAGTTTTTTCCTAAAACTGTTAAACCAATCAGCAGAGCTTTATTTTACTGCAAAGTTTTATTTTATTTTTACTGAAAAATAGAATTCCACTGTAGCGCCACAACAGAGCAGTAAAAGAGGCTCCGGAGCCGCATGTTGCCGACCACTGGACTAGGCCTTTCCTGGAATGCTCCTTTTATATCCAAGCATGATTAGAATGCCTGTTTAAGATGTTATTTAGTCCTAAATTTCCCCTCTCCCAGCTTTTTTGGAACATGTATAAGGCATCGATTTCCATACATATTTACAAAAAACAATAAAAAAGCAATGAAGTTACTAAGATAAAATATTAAATAACTTGTTTATAGCCTAATTTTATATGAAGTCTTTGACTGTCTCATAGTCTTGGGTGCATAAACCTATTCACTTTGTAAAGCACTTATTGAGGTTACTTTGTAAGGATCAAGAACAGCCTCTGTAAGAATGAAAGTATTATTACTATCTTATTATCACCAAAATACTTTGTTTTAACTGATCTCTCAACAGTTTCAGTGCTGTTCTGAAAGCAGAAAGTGTCAAAGTATGGAGCCCATATGTGCCACAGGTGTGGCTGCTCGACTGAGGAGTGAGTGGGACCGCAATGATGGTATTGGTCAGAATCACAGGGCTCTGAAGTTCTTGGGTCAGGACTTTGAGTCTCTTCGTGCCCACTGCCTTCAGAGCAGGTGTTTATTTGAGGATGAGACCTTCCCAGCCCAGCCCTCCTCACTAGGATTCAAGGAGCTGGCACCAGGCTCTGCCAAAACCAGAGGAGTCCGCTGGATGAGGCCCACGGTGAGAGCCTGTTATATCGAACTGTGACTCACACTTTCAGCTGTATCCTGCGCAATATAAAAATGCACTTTAATACTGTTGCTTTTTGGCACAGTTTAATGGTGACATACAAGTACGTGCAAGATCCTAAACCTAATTGTCAAGCAGCAGAGACGTTCCAGTCATGTCTGCGCCCTGTCTGACCCATAGGTGTTCTCTGTGCACTCCAGGAGTTCTGTTCTGACCCACACTTTATCGTAGATGGAGCCACTCGCACAGACATCTGCCAAGGAGCTTTAGGTACAGATAGTCTGCTCTGCAGCAAATTAAGGATGTATCAGGGGAACTGAAACCTCAGGCATAATTACATTTCTAATGATTGCAATTAGCAGAATTTTAATAATTACAGCCTTCATAGGTTTTCACAGGTCTAAGACTTTGGAGAACCTGCTTCTTTTTCATATTCATATGTTCCTGCATATTGCTTCCTCAATCAGGGGACTGTTGGCTACTGGCGGCCATTGCGTGCCTTACCCTGAACGAGCCTTTGCTGCATCGCGTGGTTCCTCATGGCCAGAGCTTCCACCACCAATATGCTGGAATCTTTCATTTTCAGGTACAACACGCTTAGTCACATCAAAAATCAACAAGATCTTAAACAAAAAAGCTTAGTATAAGTGTTAATACAATAATTCTGAGGCTTGGCAAGCAGTTCTGTGGGCACTATAAGATATTATATGTAATAGTTGAGAAAATTATGATTTTGTGAAAAGTCAGAACAGTTTTGCTGTTATATAACATGATAGCTGATCTATTACTCTTCTCTACCATTTCCTACGGCTCAGCAGGAAAACATATACAGCAATGCACCCCTCCCTCTCCGCTGTGCTAGCTATATTTACAGGAAATATTTATAGGGGAACAGATATCCTGTCTCCCTCAAAACACCCAGGCAAAGCAGGGTCAGCTCCCTGCTGGCAAATTCCAATAGCATTCACATGTCTACCTCGCAAGCCCATTTAGCCCATTTAGACTCAGTCATTCGGACAGCATTCACAGCATGGGTTGTGCACTGAGACTTGGAGCAAAGCCAATAGTGCAGGGATTATCAGGTGTAATTATGCTTAGGCAGGGAAAACATAATAGATTTAACAGAATTTGATGGTTATGACATTGAGAAGTAATGTCACATGACTAGTGCTGTGTCTACCTGTTTGAGTCAACCATGTTTGAGTCCTGTTTGAAGAAATCAAACAGCTATCAGCAGTAAAGCTTAGATTGTATGGGCTACACACCCTGCAGTGATTTGCCAGTCAGTGAGCTGTGGAGTGCAGTTACACTGCTGCAGACTGACACTGGGAAAATTGCCAAACCAGTGCAGCGAATTCATAGCATCCAATTTAAGACCAAAAGACTCTCTCTGAGATATACTGAGAGCTCAGTAACACTCACTGTCTCTGGAAGCCTAGTAACATGCTAATCTGGACAGTTTAATCATATATTGTAGCTGTTAACCATAGATTCGCAACCCTGGAGCCAGAGTTCCCCCCCCTGTCCTGTACATTTTAAGCATTTTCAAGCTGGCTATCGAGATTCTGTTTATGAGTGACAAACCATTGTGCATCTTCAAATACATGGGGATACTTGGATAATCGAAAGTTTAAAGTCGGTCTGTGAAAGATCTTTTTAGCAAGGTGCATGCTATCATGCCATTTTGTGCCCCTATATTAATGATGGATTGTCTCATCCTTTATCCATGTTTACAAAAAACATGGAAAATTAACCAAACCACATTTTAATTCCAGTGTAAAAGCATTTATAGAGAGTTTGGAGTGCATTCAGCAGCCAAGGAAATGTTAGTGTACTGTGAGGGTTATTTTTTTCAGCCAAACAGTTGAGGTGGTGTTAACACTTTAAGATGAGAAGTAGTAAGCTCTTAGAGTTTCCAGTTGTTATAAACACAGTATAGCACACCACTTCAAGCCACTTCAGCTCAGCAAGGGCTTGTTAACTGACTGATTAGTTGGATCAGGTGTGTTGGAAGCAGGGAAAACACAAATATGCAACACAGAATGAACTCTAGGACCAGGATTGGAAACCACTGCTTCAAACTATATGATACAAGCAGAAAATTCCAGATCAAATCAGAAAAAAGGAACATATCTGATCTGATTCTATAACAAGTTTAGCCTGAAATATTACAGAATTTCTTGTAGTGCAACTAAATACAAAGCAAGAGTAGGTCACATGATAATAGTAGCCACAAGTAGCCTAACATTAACATAAGAGCCACAAGTAGCCTAACATTAACATAAGAGCAACAAGTAGCCAGCTATTCAGCTAAGCAAATGTGTGAGAGCTGATATTGTATTGGCTGTGTCTCTGTGGTATCGGTATCAGTCAATACTTAGGTGGGTCAGGATAGGGAAAGAAAAAGTGGTATTGTGCCATCACTAACCATCAGTTTTATATCCTTTCTGTGTCATTTTGCAGTTTTGGCAGTTTGGGGACTGGGTGGATGTGGTGATTGATGACCGGCTGCCAGTGAGAGATGGAAAACTCCTATTTGTTCACTCAGCTGAAGGGGCGGAGTTCTGGAGTGCCCTGGCGGAGAAGGCATATGCAAAGTAAGAGAATTCACTCCAACACAACAAATACAGAGAATATTCAACCCAATATCAGAACTTCTTTTTTTTTAAGGTGGAAATGTGTTGTTATGTGTTTGTTTGGCAGATTAAACGGTTGTTATGAGGCACTCTCTGGAGGCTGCACCTCTGAAGGGTTTGAAGATTTCACTGGTGGGGTTACAGAAATGTATGAGCTCAAGAAAGCTCCACCAAACCTCTACAGCATCATCAGAAGAGCTGTAGAAAGAGGATCTCTAATGGGCTGCTCTATAGATGTGAGAGCACACAAGTTCATAACCTCTGTGAGATTAGCAATGCGTTAGCAATCATTTATAAAGACATGAAACTATTTATACAAAAAGTTTCCTTTGTTTTCAGATCACAAGCTTCTTTGACATGGAGGCTGTCACCTTTAAAAAGCTGGTGAAGGGCCATGCTTATTCTGTTACAGGAGTGGAGGAGGTGAGAAAAACATTTTTGGTACAACCAGTGATAGTTTACTCAGATTACTAATAACCCGGAACTCTGTTGGATAGGTGGAGTTTAAGGGAAACCTCACCAAGCTGATTCGCATACGAAACCCCTGGGGAGAGGTGGAGTGGACTGGAGCCTGGAGTGACGAGTGAGGATGAGGGATGAGGGAAGATGGAGTAGCACCTGGTTGATTACTGTAGATAATAATTTCTCTGTACTTAGAATGGAACAGAAGACTTATTGACTTAAAGGATCATTCTGGCCTAAAAGTTCCATTTAATATGTAATTTGTCATGTTATGTAGTCACTATTTAGTATTCCATAGAGCAACATTGCATTCCTCAGCCTCATCAGTTTGACAGAATTTACAATTTTATATTCTTTTTGTGTTTTTGTCTGTCAATATTCTCTCACTACAGTACTCAGCATGCATTACGCAAGTGCATCTCACAACTATTGGGACGCTGCGGATAGAGACTAGGTTAAAAAATGCTGCCGTATTCTTTAATCAAAACAGGAGAGGAAACAAAGACAAAAATGCAGGCGATTAATGTGTTAAACCACTCATTCTGTTTGGTCCCATTTAGCTCAAAAGAGTGGAGTGGAATCGACCCTGCCATTAAATCCCGTCTGCACAATTGCTGTGAAGATGGAGAGTTCTGGTGCGGTATCAGTGTTTAATTATGCCATAGTAAATTAATACAAACTACCTTTTTAGAACGTTGTCATTATTTAGATTCTCTTTCTCTGCTCTTCTCTGACTCACCGACACTCAAAACAGGATGTCATTCAGAGATTTTATGAAGGAGTTCAGCAGGCTGGAGATTTGTAATCTGACAGCAGATGCACTGCTAAGCAGTGAGCTGAAGAAGTGGAATTCATCTCTCTACACTGGAGAGTGGAGGAGAGGCAGCACAGCTGGGGGTTGCAGGAATTACCCGGGTACTGGAATCACTCATATTTATTATTTTTATTTATTCACATTAGTTGATCTGATGCACTCTTTATTGTTTTAGAAGAGATTCCAGACAAGAGATACTCTCAGGCTTCCATATTTCCCATGTACTCATATTTCATATTTTTCTATTCATACAGCGACCTTTTGGATCAATCCCCAGTATAAAATCATGCTTAAGGACCCAGATATTGAGGGCCAAGATGGCTGCAGTTTCCTGGTGGCACTAATGCAGAAGGATCGACGACGGTTACGCAAGGAGGGCAAAGACATGGAAACGATTGGATTTGCCATTTATGAGGTAAATGGTTAATTTGCCTCTTATAAGATGACATAAGGGAAGTGTGGGGAATTCCCTTAACTAAGACACTAGTGGGCAGATTTACTGAGAGAGGTGCTAATTACCTACAGTCTACCAAGGGCTGCCCAACACAGGTTCAGGTTCAGGTGATAAAATTACTGATTTATCTTCTGAATGGTTTAATAGCAGACATGTTATATTAGGTGTGTTCAAGCAGAGAAATTAATTAATTATCTGGAAAAATGGCACTACAGCATGGGCCAGCCCACTCTTTACATATTGAATAAAAAAATTGGAGATTGGAGATTCAGGTTTTATGTGTTTGCTACAAATGGGCTGGTGGGGGTAAGTACATGTGCAGTTCTGTCCTCCTAATTTCCATTTTTGAATAATTTCCAGGTTCCCAAAGAGGTATGGGATGGGCATCCATCTGTGTATCATTAATGAAACTAAATCTGATCTAGGGTGAGCTGTTCTTAATGCTGCCCGTCAGGTCAGTGTCTGCTCTCCTCTGGCCTGGTTATCAGGTTTGAGTTTATACTGCAAGGCATGCTAGTGCACACAGCATAAATGGTGAGACATTACCTTACAACAGTTCCTCATAGTGTTCTCTGTGTTCTCTGCAGTATATGGGCAGAGTGGGCGTGCATCTGAAGCGCGATTTCTTCCTCACACACATGTCCAGCGCTCGCTCTGAGCTCTTCATCAACCTGCGGGAGGTGAGCTCGCGTTTCTGCCTGCCTGCAGGAGAGTACATCGTCATCCCCTCCACCTTCGAGCCTCAGAAAGAGGGTGATTTTGTGCTGAGGGTCTTCTCTGAAAAAGCTGCTGACTCACAGTGAGGACTTTCAGTCATTCATTCTGTTAAACTGTTAGAGCAGTATAATGATGTTATTATGTTTATTACGTTATTATGTTTCACAAGCCCAGTCCTGGACCCCCTTGCTCTGGATAGCTATGTTGTTTTTTTGTGTCTAGCACATCTGAGTCATGTTATTAGATAAGTGTCCACCCCTTTTTGAGGTAAATCAAGTTTCTTAGAGCAGGAGAAGCATGTGGTACATTGCAGAGGGGGGACTTCAGGACTGGTGTTGGGAAACACTGCCCTACATACACGTCATTCTACCACTGCGGTGGCAAACAGGGGATGAATAGTGACAAGTAATTTTATTGTAAATTGTAGTCTTTATATTGAACAACATCAATAAAGTTGTAACAGCAGTGACTGTAACACCGCTGACAAAATAGCTAAATCCTGAGCTTTTCTAAAATATAGTCTGCTGCCTATTTAGTGTGTAGAACATTACAAATACTGCATTCAACTTTAAATTTAAATTAAAAAAAAAATTAAATCACTTAATGTTTCACCACTGACACAGTCCTTTTGCGAAGGTGTCAGTATTTTTAACCATATTTATCAGAAATGTAAAGAGATTTCACTAACCATGGACTTCTCAGAGTTAATCCCTCTTCCTCTGAGATATCAATACAAGAAGTCTCAAAAAGACCTTGCTGTTTTTTTTAACGACACCACTAACACTGTATGACATATGTTTCTGTAACACCACTGACAAAAATCCTGGAACAAAGTAACATTCTATATATATATATATATATATATATAAAATATTTATATATATATATATATATATATTTATTTTTTTTACCCTATTTTCCCCCCAATCACACACGACGCTATCAATGCTAGGAGGGTGAAGGCTAACACAGGCTTCCTCCGAGACCTGTGAAACCAGCCACCGCTTCTTTTCGAGCTCCCGCTGACGCAACGTCATTGGACAGCCGAGCGCGCTATTTAGGAATAGAACAAAGAATACACAGACATCCACTTTCTGTGTTTTATTTCTGTTTTGAGCTCATTTTGGCTTCAAAGGACACCATTTGCCACCACAATGGTAGAATGACTCATACACAAAAATAGGACTTTTGGCTTTGCTTAACCTTAACAAGAAGTATGTTTGTACAGATGAATAATTATTATGGTCAGACAGTAAGCCTGTTTGAAAAATGTATTCACTGAGGAAAAGGGGCAGAATGACAAACCTGACAATAAACCCACACTGTCTTTGTAATGAAGGGAACTAGATGATGAGCTTTCTGCTGACATACCAGAGGAGGTACGTGCCAGACACTGCAAAGGTGTTTTCATGCTAGCTCAACACACAAATAGTCCAGCATGCAAATGTGTGGTCATGCTCAAAAGTGCTCAGGATTTTTTCACTACTTCAGGATGTGCTGCCAGAGAGTGAGATTGATGAAGGCTTCAAGGCCCTTTTTACCAAGCTTGCTGGAAAGGTGAGAAGGAAGGAGAAAGTATCATCATGATGCTGTTCAGTTTCTCACAGATATATCATGACATTAATATGGCACATTTATTTTCTTCTCTGACTCTCCGTCTCTTGGCTTGCAGGACATGGAGATCGATGTGCCGAAGCTGCAGATGATTCTGAACCGCGTCGTAAGCAAACGTAAGAATATACAGTCATATGCAAAAGTTTGGGCGTCCCAGACCAATTACATTTTGTTGATTTTATAAGTGAAAATATGTTACCGTATCCTCTACAGAGAACACACTTTTGCCCATTTAAAACACAATACTGTTTATTTACTGAATTTAGCATATTAATTTTATTTTTATTTTTAATAAAAGTTATGGTATAGTTTGCCTGTGCAAAAGTTATGGTATAGTTTGTTTTTTTGTGTTATTTTTTTCAATATGTTAAACTCAGCAAAGAATATAAATTTGAAAATATGAAAAATATCACATTTAGGTTTGTTCACTTTTAGAGGATGTGATTACTTATTTTCATTTAGAAAGTCAGCAAAACGTAATTTTATCGACGGTGTTCAAACTTCTGCATATGACCAAAAGAACAACTTAGCTCAAGAGCCCTCAATACACAATAATCTTCATATTTGCACCTCTTTTACTATATATCACAAGCACAGTATCATATACAAAGTCTTACAGAACCTAATTTACTAGTAATTTCTTTAAAGGAAACCCTCATAACTGAGCTAATTATCCCTCTTATTTTCACAGATAAGGATCTAAAAACTGACGGATTTCAAAAGGAGGCTTGTAGAAGCATGATCAACCTTATGGATGTATCCTTCAGCTTCTCATCACTTAAGCATACGTTTACACCTATTTCTTTGAGCATTTCCCAAGCAGAGGCTCTCCTGTAGAGTGACCATCCTATGTTAAGCCTTAACATGGCCCATACAGACAACTGGCCGTGGACGGTTGGGTTTAACAGATTTTCATGTGCTTTGGGAGAAGATAAAGCGATATCTTGTAAGCGATTATTTAAACGTGTTTTTTGGTGTAGTTAATTCATGTTTAGAAATTCAGATTTATCTTTCACTGCTAACCCATCCTTTCAACTTACTCTTTTTGATGTTATTCTTTCATTTGCTTTGTGCCACACTTGTTGTTTGCATTTATTACTTTTCTCTTAAATGATATCATGTTGAAAATGACCCCACCCTCATTAGACTGTGTTTAGAAAGTTTGACTTGGACAAGTCTGGCACCATGAGCTCCTATGAAATGCGTCTGGCGCTGGAATCAGCAGGTATTGACACTTCAGCACGCATGAACTACACGACAGCTGTTTTCAGATATCATTAATTGTCTGATTGGTGTAATGTTACAAACTGTATAATTCCATGTCAGGCTTCAAGCTGACCAACCACTTGTTCCAGCTAATAATCCTGCGTTATGCTAAGCCAGACCTGAATGTGGACTTTGACAGCTTTGTGACCTGTCTGATCCGCCTGGAGAGCATGTTCAGTGAGTGGTCATAACGTTTTCTGTTTAGTCAGATCTAGGAATAGCAAGTAACACTTAAAACACATCAAAATGAAAAATTTAACCATTTCTAGATTTCTTGTAAAGATGCTTACTTGCCTTTTACAACAGTTCCATAGTAGTTAATAGATTAAGATTCATTGCTCATTTTAACTTTTTAAAATTAGAACTACTTTGGGGTAGATTTTTGAAAGGCTGTTTTTTTTTTTTATTGGCTCATGATGCAGAATGAACAAAGGCAAATAAGAAACCAAATATCTTCTTGCAGCCATATAACTGTTGTCTTCAAATCATCATCACAATGGAGAGAATGGATTACTCAAAAGACAGAAATCATTTGTCAGATAAGGAAAGGCTAAAAGCTAGTTAGTTACAGTTTGGTTCTTTTTTCTGGCTGAAGGGTAATTCTATCACTTCAACATCCTAGTAACCTCTATACCATAAACCCATTACTGATCCATGCATTAGAAGAATAGCTAACTATTCAGTTACGCATTATGCCTAAATTTAGCATAGATGTTTTGTTTCTGTGGATGCTGCATGTTATTAGAAACTCGCAATGTGAAAGAAACGGCCTCTTGTTTTGTCTCTTCTTCCACCCGACAGAGACATTTAAAACCATGGACACAGATGCAGATGGAGTGGTGTCCTTCAGTTTCTTCCAGGTTTGTCCTCTTGGTCATTTGTAATTAAATAAATAATAGCTTCGTCATCTTTCTGATATCTTTGCAACTTCTCTCCACCTCTCTTCTTCCAGTGGATCTCCCTTACCATGTTTACCTAGATGGATGTCTTTGTTCTTCACTTCAACCCTCACTTGTTTTCCATGCTTTTTTTCCTGTACTAAGTGCCTTTTCTCCACTTTGCACCTCTTCTTTTAACTTCTCCCTCTCTTTCTCTCAGCTGTACCTTTACGAAATACAGACTGCTATGAGTTGTACATTCAGGCAGTGTATCTAAAAGAGAGAAACCTTAATAAGAGAAGTTGGGTTATTAATCACTTTTGTAGCATAACTGGTGCCTATGTGTTACTGAATGCTTGTGCACTGCATTGCCTTAACTTCAACTGTTTCTTGGGTGCACCATTTGCACCAGTTTTCTAAATCGATTTAGATTTATACCAGTTGGGTGCACTTTTCTGCTCTGATTGTCTGAATTGCTTTCAAAAAGGTGACCTTTCTTCAAAATAAATAAAACTCAAGCCCATTGTTTGTCAGATTGCTCACTCATATTCATAGACAGGAATATGCTGTTGAGGTTTCTCATACCCTCTTTAGGGAAAACAGAAGTTAACCTAGTAAATGTACTGTACCGTGTGAACAGGTCATGGCAGCCTATAATGGTCTCTTTTATGCATGACACATTTCTGACAGTAGAAAAGGTAGTAGCCAGCTGTGTACGTGTACATACTGTCAAAGGATTTATAAATACATGCTCACAGTTACAATTTGGAACAGGCTGAGCTGAAAGCTGGGACTCAACATAGAATTCATTTGCTATAATTGTAAGGTAAATATCCTTAATGTTTTTTGCACTTAAGGGACAGGTAGACATATTTTATATATGTAGCCTTTTTACTCTTTATAGTGCAACATGGGCTATATTTAATGCCTAATACCCTTGGAGCAAACTAAAATGTAATGAGTGCAACTGCTCTTAATTTTGTGACTGCAAACTGGGTAAATATAAACCTCATTTTGGCTAGTTGCTGATATGGTGGAAAGCAGAGAGAGAAAGAAAAAATCTCTTTAGAGTAAGTGAAGTTCTGACAGAGTGAGTTCCAGATGCTGAAAAACAATTTGGTAAATCATGGTGAAGAAAATTAATGCAATGGAACTACCACAGGATCTGTGAAAGAACAAAAAGAGATATGTCCTCCATAGACAAAGCAAAAGACAATAAGAAGAAGAATTCACTGAGATCTTCCTATGTTTTAACTTAAATTTGTTCATGAAAAAGGTCTTAAGAAAGTCTGTCAGATTCCTGATGTGTTCCCTAAACCACAGAACTGTTCACAACTTTGTGCTCCTGTGTGTGTAGATTCTGTTCTTACCTAAGAACAAATCCCAAACAAGACAAATTCAGCTAATGTCAGAATCTTCATGAAAACCGCATAAGTGAGTTTTAAGTAGAAATTTCTTCTTAAGAACAGTTGGTGAATGAGGCCTTTTGTTTTTAATAACAAATCTGAAAGGACGTAATTCTCTGTTGGAATATTATTCAATTTCTTTGTGGTCTCACTATCTTCACCTTCTTAAAAACAGTGCTGCAGCCATTACACAAGTTATTGTATCAGGTGCGCTAAAACTTGCAGCTCAGCTGCAAACAGGTTCATCTGCACACAGGTTGATAAATCAGCCTCACAAACTTTCAGACAACTATACATGTCTAATAAAGAGCCAAGTAGGATTTGGCCATGATATGTATGTGAAACCATTCTCAGTCAACTATTAAAACTTCTCAATTTAAAAACATGACAGTGAGACAATATTATGGATAATTAATAATATATAATATACAAATATAAATATGACTACAACACTATTTACATAACAAAAAACACTTACATACATCCCTACATGGTCATCCATCAATCTACATGGTCTTTTACAATAAATGCATGAAACTTGCAGCAGTCAATCAGGTACTCCAAGGTTACTATGCCAAAACTCTGAGACCAGAGCTCTTTCTTCTTGACCTACGCTACGAATGGCTTCAATAGCTTTTAAGGACAGCACAAGCTTCTCTGATCACCTGCAGTCAATGGCTCTTCTTTCTGGGGTTGCACTGCAGCTGAGCTCTGCCCTTACAGGCTGCTGTGGGCACAGAGAGAATGGCTGTCTCATCAAGTAATGTCCATGCCCAGGCCAGCTGGTCTATGTCTCAGTTGAGAGCCAGCCCCTCACTCACAGGCATGTTAATGTGTGCAGTGAGGAGGGGAGCACTCTTCCCTTCTCTCAGCACAAACACCTGAAGTTAGAAAGAACAAGGGTAGCATATTAGTGTTTTTCTAAATGTACAATTTCCTTAGGATATTTAACTGAAGATCAAATCTTTATCAGGGCTTTCGATGCACAGTACAGAATGGACGCTTTGAAACGTTGCAGTAGAATTAAAATCTTACTTTTATGATGTCAGAGATGCCTTTATCACTCAGGCACTCCACAAATGTGTCGATGGGATAGTTCAGCCCTGGAACCAGTAGGGGGATCTACACACACACAGTGCAGCTGGCTGTAATTGGGCCCAGTTCCCCAGTTCTTACCCATTAAGTACATTAGCCACTAAAGAGAAATACGTGATGGTAACTGCAAAGGCAGCCAGGTTTACCTTAAAGAATGCTGTCCTCATGCTGTATAAATTTTCATCATACAGGAAACTGATGGCTAGATTCATTACAGGGCGGCAGGCTGCTGTGTTCTGGATGTTCAGAGTGAGTTTGAAGGATGGGCCTAAGCCTTGAACCTGAGTAAGGAGGAAAATTATTTGTACATACGTATATAAACAAACACACACTATCAGTAATGTATGAAGTAACTAGGGGAAACAAGGAAACGTGCACTTACCACTGCATTCATCTTGAGAGGTTCTGTCAAGCTTGCTGACATAGGAGTGAGGCTGGACTCCAGGGCTTTGACATAGGCCCTAGCTGCAGCTAGCCGCATCCTACTTAGGTCCATTTGGAAGGCCCTGTGCATGGCTGCACAAGCGTGGCAAGGCAATGTCATTTCATACAGTACACTAAAGACTTGTTTAATACTCAAGTATTAAACATTGCAGTAAATGAAGGCTCTGATGAACATACAAAACAGGGAAAGCAATTTTTCTGACTTTTAGGAACTCTTTCCTTAGCTGCTTCTGTTATCATGTGCTTAAAGCGGCTGTACATACCCACAGCATTCTCCCTTTCTCTCATGGTTTGGTCCACATAAAGCTTAGTTTTCTTAGGCACGTTGAGACGGATGCTTTGAGCTATCGGTGGGCCAGGGGCAGAATCCCTATCATCAAACACCGCTGTTCTCTTCAGGATCTTTACAATGAGGCCCCCTCCTGTATAACACAGGAAAGAATGCTTTATATGAGAATTACTATATCTGAAGAAGAATAAAACATGGTGGTATAGAAGCACAAAGTAAATAAAACAGGGTTAGCATGATGAAATTCAACAAAGAACAGGCAATGCTTAGGTTGTATTGTGATATTACAAATAGAAATAAGCTACTACCAATTCTAGTTTTACCAGCAGAGTCAAATGACAGGCTCGTTGACTGCAGCCTTGTTACCTTTAGTGGTCATAATTAAGGTGCCATCCTCTCGACCATAACGGCCAAAACAAATGCTGGTTACCACATCCTGCAAAAGCAAGATGTAAAACACATAATAAAAATCCAGTAATTTCTGGTTCAGTTACCTGGTCCTAAAATAGCCCAAAACAATTAGATCAGATGATATGGATATAGCATCATATCTTAAGTCTTACTGGTGTCTTGATGGTGCTGACTAAGTTCTTGTCCCGATACACGTGCACCTCGCAGTTGGCTAGACCCACAAGCACAGCCTGGAAGCCCCGTGTGGGCAGATCTAGCACTGCCATTGTGGTGATGGGGGCAGGCAGGTAGGTTGTCCACAGCTTCTTTCCCTTCAGGAGAGGAAAAACAGTCATATTGTTATCTTTACATGGCTTCTCTTAAAACCTTAGTACCACATCTGAAACATCTCCTGCATCTTCACATTAAATAATGTGTAATCATCTAAGAGACAGCAATGACTACACCACTATCTCAGTATATGTTTTGGTGAGGAGGTGAGACCTTCTGAGTGTAACCGTGCAGAGTTTCTTGAGCGCAGCCCACCACCACATTCTTCCCCATCCTTACGAGCCCAACGGGGTGAGAGGACAGCTCAATGCAGTACTTTGGTCTTGGGGAGTCCCTGTAAAAAAAAAAAAAAAGATTTGTAGCTATTTTTTTCATATATTGTATCATTCTGGTTATATAAAATCATCTGCAATGTATTATTTAGTCTACATTTACATCCTACATTTTTTTGGTCAAGAGAGGATAAATTAATGATAAAGATCATGATACAGCAGGCTCACAAGGCAGAACCATTTGCCAGCAGAAGCAGCTGTTAAAACTGCCACCGTGATATCCTTTCTGAGTTGCACAAGCTTTACATTATGCAACAAAAGTGAAATTTAGATTCATGCAAGTTTTAAGAAACAAAAGTATGAAGGTTCCACCATGTAAAGCCAGACTTATAGAGAACTGTTTGACTAGAAATGTCACTTTGAGTCTGAAAATGGCATGATACCACTTTTCCTATGCCAATACAGCTATTGGAACCTTACGTATCAGACAGTACCAATATCAGTCCAAAATCTTTTCTTTAAAAACTTTAAAATGAGCAAGCACTTAATTTAAGATGAGCATCTCAAAGCAGATATCACATCACACAATATGAATGTGAGCTATTTCAGGACAGATAAGATTGGACTGGACTAATTCTTTTTTTCCTTCCCATATCCGATTCAGCATTTTCTGCTGATATCCACCTGATATCTATACACATTGATACTGTCATACAACCTCTAGCCTAATGTAATGCATATTTTTCTTTAATGATATTGTTCATTGTATACTGTTGCTGATCAGATGAACATAAAGCTTTTTTGGGTAAATCCACACACATAAATACATACAAGAGCAGCACTGGCCTGACTGCGGACCTACCTTCGCAGTATGTAGATATTTCCATTGCGACAAGCTATGGTGATTCTGAACTCCACATCAAACTGACCAGTCACATCCATCAGTGTGGGGACACTGGGAAGGGACATCTGCAAGCAAATTTAAGTCAACTCAGAAGGGACTCACAAAACAAGAGATCAGACTTTATTACAGACTTCTAACAACTTCACATTGTTCTTTAAATTATGAAGATGAACACATTTCTGGACTTAATAACAGTTAATGTTATTAGCAGAATCAAAAGTGAGATGCTGACCTTTGCAAGAATGGTGAAGGCCTCTGGATCCAAAATGTAAACTTCTTGACTTTCTGTGCCGATCACCAGGCAGCTGACTGCGTCATCATCTGCCATGTTCTTCTTCAACGTCCCTACGCATGTAATAACCGTCTGAGAGCACACAAAACTATTAAACATGGTTACTATGTTTAGATACCTGTTTGTGTGGAGGTGCATGTCTCACCTGTCTGCGTATGGGCTGCTGTTTGTGAAGGTTAACATAAGCCTCCATATCCTGAGGTTCAAGCATGAGGAACCTGAAAATAATGTAATATTAAACTAAAAATGTCATAGACACTATCAGAAATGTAGAAACATACACACTGCATCTTTTAGAAATTGTACAAAACTATCATTAAGTTGATATAAGTCATTGTTACCGTAGTGATCTGACTGATAGTGGGATGTCAGCCTTATCCCTAGAGAACAAATGAGAAATAATGTTTTACAAATAGTGTCTGTTTATAGAGCAATTTGATAATAGTATAATGATAGCTATCCTGAACTCTTACAATACTCACCTTATACCTTCTAACATTTCTTTCAGTGTCATTGGATCAATCATATCCTTGAGGGAAAATTCAACAAGCAATTAACCATTAAATAAACCATTAACAATCCATACTAAATAAATTTGAGAATCAATTACAGAAAGAATTAGTATAATATTAATTAATATCATTTATAAGTCAACATGCCTAGCTTTGAGTACATGTATAATAACCATTTCTTAAAAAAAAGAAAAACTTTATGATTGCCAGTCCTATACCCAAAGATTAAACTTAAACAAATGCCACAAATTTAATGAACGGTATGAGACATCAATGGCAAAAGTGTCTGGTTTTATAAAACAGCATACTTCTCGCCCCACACCCTCGCAATCTTAAGCCCTACATGAATATTGCACAAGACTTTGCATGCACATGCACATAATTTAATCAGTCATTTTGATGAAAGTTGCATTTCCCACCTCTCTAGCCTGACTCCACACATCCTGCTCCAGGGGGTTGACCTCCAGAGTGGGCAGAGTGAACTTGAAGTAGGGACGCAAGTTCTTGTAGATGTAGATGAAAGGTCCGGAGGCTACAGCAATGGCAGGGGTGCGGGGCTCATGCTGGTCCATGAGGAAAGACACGAGGCCAGTGGGCAAATCCAACAGAGTGTTTTCACTCAGCAGTCCAGTGCCACGGTACACCTTCAGCTTCATGTTGCTTGCTCCTGTGCCCAGGTCGCCCACTACCAGCTATCACATTTAAACGCATACACATGTCAAATTAAATTACACAACTGTACATATGAATCATTCCAGTGCTTGTTCATAAAAATAGGGAAAATGAAAAGGAAATCTTTCAGATCTTCAAAATGCACACAAATGCACCATTTTGGTCACCATAGAGCATGCACCTACAAAAACAGAGGCAATATAGTTAACAGAGACTCACCTTGTTCTCACCATCTCCATGCAAGTCTGCCAAAGCTGAGAAAAACAAAACATGAAAATAAAGAGCCGCCTTTCATTTTAGAGTTGGTGATTACAGCATGTGTTTAAACAATTCCTTTAAAAGTTAAAAACTGTGATGTCATAGCGACCAGAACTCACCAATGCACGAAGAAAAAGTATATAGATTAGCAACTGGGTCGTAGTGTGCATCAAGCCATTTCGAACTGGACACTGCACTGTAAACAACAGAGTACCGTGACTTCAGACTTCAGAAGCAATTTTAGCTCGCAGCAGCAGTTTGACATCTCTTTGTAATTCACTGTCAGTCCTATGTTTAACTTCGCTGGCTGTGTTAATACTAGACAAGTTAAACGTGCGGCTTGAAAGTAGTGAACTTGCAACAATATAGTTTTATTCACAACATTAGCTCACAGCTAACAGCTCGCCCTGGTTTAACAGTTATAGCGTTAGCTAACTTACTAAGCGAAATGTCTCTTAAATAAACCACAATTTCAACAAAAAAAGTGCTAATCCACAAATCCAAACTCGCCGGCTAGTGAGTTCCAGTTAGCTCCCAATCTTATTTCTGACTCATAGCGATCTATGTAAATCGAAATTAACGGGCTAAACACGCTAGCTGGTTTATGACAACTGCTATTTTACCAGCTAGACAGTAGACTAGCTAGCTAGCCGAGCTAGCAAATATGTGTAACTAGGTTCTACATGCTCTGTAAACTCATATGTAAATCGCCTACTTACCTGTCTTTCATCTCCATAGGGACTGAAGACATACTAACGTATATTTTAAACACTAGCTTGAGTTTGAAGAGCAATGCTATCTATGATTTACTGAAGCCTCTCAGTAATCCTTAGATCGGCTTTCCCCGTTTCCATAGCAGCAGCGGGGAAGAGCTGCAACTAACGCGAGATCTAACGAGACTTGGCAGCGACCATCCCGGACGGTCGGCATGGAAATCCCGCCTGAGTGCGTCTGCAAGGGCACTATGGCTGCGTCCGAATAGTTGAATGAAACTTCCTCTCGTGTCTGCTTTCGTATTGTTTGTTTTTCAAGGTCTGTTTAATTTTTATGCGCCTCGTTATCTGCCTCAACTCTCTCTCTCTCCCAATGTGACATAGACGATGAGAAGGCGACGGCTCTGTCCGAATAGTTGAAAGAAACCTCCTTTTCTGTCAGGTTTGGCTGCGTTCCAAACCGCTTAATACCGCACTAAATAGTATATCAAAACACTGCACCACTGTTATTGCCACAGTATGGTATACATTGTATTGTATGTGGTTTTATATACAGCCCTTAAATTAGCCTGATAGCCATTTTATTTGTGAACCTAAAGATATGTTTTCTGTGTTTTATATGTAATATTCATATTGTTGAAATGGTTGTAAATACAAAATAGGTTTTCTTTCGCCGTTTTGCCGATTTTACCTCTGCTGTGAATGCATATTAAAAAATGTTTTAGGCCAAAACCTTATCTCAGAACTATTACACAAGACTTCACTGCTTCATAGTGCTAAACAGAACCATTTTCTTTGCTAAAGAACCCTTGAAGAACCTTCATCCATCCTTTTTAAGAGTGTAGGGGTTCAAACACCAGTAAAATACACCAACTGATATATACCAGCAAGCTAATAAACACCCATTTCACATATAGGATATAGGATACATAGCAACATCACCATCTCCTGGGCATTTTAGGAGTTAAGGAACCCACTTCTGTAAAGCTATATGCTTTCAGATATAAAAGATGAAGTTTTTTCCTTGCGGTTAACAATTTATAGTTTTTATTTAGCTTTCGTATCTAAAAAAAATGTCTCCAAATCCCCAAATCTTACAATGTGTAGCTTTAATATGTGACTTTAAAAAGACAAGTATTTCGAAAGTAACACAAAGTAAACAGATTACATTTCATTAATATAGTGGATTAGGTTACAGATTACAGGCAATTATAATCTGTACCGGAATACATGTTTAAAGTAAGATTCTCAATTCTGTTGGTATACCAGTGTGCTTGTCCAGATGGGCAATCAAACGCCAGTCTGCTGTGTGTAGCAGCTAAAACAATTGCAATATAATTTTGTTTCATGAGAGGCAGAAACTGCACTGTATTGTTTAAGCAGTGTTCTACTACAAAGTAGTTCATACAGATGGTCTGGAGTTTGTTTTCTGGCTACTGGCGGAAGTACTGGGAGAGTAGCAATCATACTGGGGCCCATAGCAACAGGACTGCCCTTTGTCTTTATCGGGCCCCTCATATCTTTTCTTCACAACAGCCCTAACTGTTTATCTACCAGATACATCCAGAGCAATGTAGATGTTGAGCTTTCCTTTCTGGTCCAGTCGGATTCTGAATTGTGATTCCAGACTTTTGAATGCTAGTGCTTTATAAATGAAGAAAACGTCTATCTATAGATGTAACAGTCTTTCTTTTATTCCTAGATTTCATATTTTTTCTTACCAACTTGGTACTATTTTGAAAATGTATGTTGTGAATTCCTGCTCTGCCATTTTCCTCGTGTGTGGTCAGAGTAGTCTTTAAAGTGCTGCCAAAAGCCTCCGCTACTTCTGCTGGGGTGTCGTATGTGTAATTAGCTGCAATGAGAAAACAGGAACACATCAGAAACCCAGTATCAGTAAAAGCACTCATAACCCTTTACTGTTTGTAGGCTGTAGAATATTATGTTGGACTGCTCTTTGTTTCCTTTGTAGACTACCATGAGGGACTCACTGTAGCACTCCGGCTCTTGTCCTGACCACTGGCCACCATCCTGACATACACGCACTTTGGAGCCCAGCAGTTTCAGCTTATTATCACAGCGGTAGGTCACTTTGTCATCAATATTGAAAATGTGCCCTGTTCTGCTGGCACCAGGGGGTGTACCAGGATCAGGGCAGTGATCAGCTGTGGGTTGGAAACGTTTCATCATTAAACACAGATGGGCGTACGTTTGAGGTTTGTGCAATGAGCGTTCAAATAAGCCAGCAGACTATTAAAGGGGATATCATGGAGAACCAAATTTCCCTCACTTTTCTGAAATAAAAGCTTTTGATGTGTGTAAACTCTCTTAAAATGTCCAAACAAACCACATCACTTTCCAGTCCATATAGTCCATACATAGGAACTAGGCTGCAAATACAGACCAGTTTGAATATATTGTTTTTGTGATGTCGCAGACTGTACGTTTATGTTTCTGACCTTTGTTATAAGGTCTTTCAGCTTCGACTGTTTTTGCATGGTGCACAGTTCAAAGATCATGAACTTAAGGACGTATTGCAATTTTTTTGCCCTCCAGGTCCAATTTTTTGTTTTACCCAACTTATACTACAAATAACTTCACCTTATCTTAGTGCACCTAGTGCAGTAGAAGCCTGCAGTATCGCAGTGACATAAACTAAAGGCCTAGTGTGTAAAATTAATCTCCAACATAATTAGAAACTGACAGTCTAATCAACTAATCATGCATTGATTTACAAGAGTAGGACAAATTTTTTCAGAAAAAAAAGTTACTCTAGATGTTCTGGAAGTCTTAGATACATCACTCAATGCGAGTACGAGTTGTAGCTGTGTGCATTTGCAGCTATATGAGAGCTCTTTACAGAAAGTTCGACAGCAAAACTGCTACAAGGTAAAATATATGTTAACAGATAGATAGATAGATAGATAGATAGATACTTTATTGATCCCGAAGGAAATTTAGCAGCCAGTAGCGGTCACACAACACAGGACAGTAACAGTAATAAGGATGTAAACAATATAACAGGAAGAATAAATATAAAAAAATCCTATCTACAGGCATATATACAAACAGAAAAATACAACAATCTGGAATAATATCTATAACCTTTGATGAAAAGACGCATTGCAATAATGACTGTACAAGGAGGCAGGGGTAACGGCATATAATGACAATACTGAATAAATATGTGCAGATATTGGTACCAAAAGAAAGTGTCTACTGCAAATAAACATGTCTGTTCCACGCTTCAGATGTCTGTGTTTAATCTAGAATGTCCAAAAAATGTATGCCATTAGCTTTGTTAGCATACTACTAGAATCCCATAGGGTGCTACTTTAAAATGGACATTATAGTAAAGGCCTTAATGTAATAGTCGTGGTTACATATGACAAAGTGGTAAGAGCGAAAAAGAAATAATCAGGCTAAGACCACCACAGAGGCTCTATACTTACAGTCATGGCTACAGATTGGCGTGTAGCCACTCCACTTACCATTGAGCTGGCACACACGTGTGGAGGACCCCCGGAATGTGTAATCAGAATGACACCTGTAGGTAGTCGTGTCATTCACATAGTACAGCAGCTTATAGGGCTCCACGACTCCGTTGTCCAGAACATGTGGATTAGGACATGTAATCTCTGAACAAATGGGAGATATAATGGTAAGAATTTGCTGAATGAAAATGACATAGTGCTATGCTTCATTGTGATTCATTCAGGATAGTTGAGCCTTACTCTTGCACTCTAATTGTCTTTTGGTGGGCGCTGGATCCCACTTGCTTCTGGAACACTGTCGTATTTTTACAGGATATGGATAATAACCCCGTGGACAGCGATACTTCAGGATGCTACCTTCATCAGAATTATTGGAGAGAGTGAAGGTGCCTCCATTAATGTCCAGGTTGCTGTCTGAGCACTTAAGATCAGAGGGATCACCTACACAGAAACAATTCGACCAGTAGGATCAAATATATAGTGAAAGAATAAGCAAGAAAGCTGGAACCAGTGGAGGAAAACAAAAACACAGTTGTTTAAAAGAAGAAATTGAAAGAAGTGATCTACATAACATTATTCATTAACATTGTCCAAGTAAGCGCTTTTATAGTTAGTTTTGCTAAAAAATATATAATTCAGTAAATAAAAATTAAAGATCAGACTCTAGAAGGGGTTTTCTCAGACATCTGTCAACAAGCTGGGGTAAAATAAATGTAAACACATAAGCAGGACCATAAGTGCTCTATTACTGTGTTAAATACTTAAGGACCGTTAAGTATTTGGACGTTACTGGATAATTTAAGCCTTCGAACTTTTGCTCCACTTCAACTAACCCCATAAATGGCCAAAGCTTATCAGCAAGCCCAGAGTTTATTATGAACTTCTATAACCTAAGAATAGTTCAACCAGTTTGCGCTGAAGTCCCTGAATTTACTGAATAATAAGCCTCAGTATGTCATAAGACTGGGATTTTAATGGGTTAATGCCTTAATGTTAATAGTTTTGCAGCATTTCACTGGGTTGTTCTATCAGGACTCATTGTAAAGGCAGAGCTAGCCTTCTTGCTGTGCTCTGTGTAGATCAGAAAGTACTGAGGCAGTCTAACGCTGATGCAGTCAAGCTAGAGCGAACTATTAGAGAAAATTCTGCTTGTGTATGGCATAGCTGTGGCCAACCATTAACCTAAAACTAACATATCACACATTTCCTGAACATGCTACACTACTTCTCCCCCCTACAAAAGTCCTCACCCTTGGGCCTGGGACTGCCCATGAGGTCAATTGCGTGCAGTAGACAGTTTGCACCTTCTGCAGAAGTCCTCCATGTCTCAGCTGTCCCCAGTAGAAACTCTGTTGGAGGCAGCAAAGTGTTTTTGTGAGTTCAAAATGACCGGAACTTGCACAGCCGTGCATGGTTTTTAGAACTTCCTCCTGCAGCCCTCTAGATCTAGATCACCAGATCTTCCCAGGCCTGCTGTAGAACACCATCCACTAGCCACAGAGTGTCAAACTTGGTCCACTGCTCTTTTGTAAATGGGGGCAAGGCTGCGACCTCCTCCCAGTGGGGCCGCAATTGCTCACTCACCCACCGCATCACGCAGAGACACTGAGCTTTGTATGGTCACCCTGCAGTGGACAGATAATCTTCCATGCCCCAGAATGTTGTACAAGAAGACTAGACACTAGACACCAGGGAAAGGCGTTGTGGCTGCTGCTGTATTGGTGTGGCATCCCCTGTGTTGTTGTCACGCTGCACTAGGTAAGCCTATCTCAGCTTGTGGGGTATGAATGTTGCGCCCCTCCACCCAACACGCTGTGAATCTTCAGGAAAGTGTATTCTTCCACATGGCTGGGGGAATGAGCTATTCCCTGGTCACCCATGCTTTTTGGCGGCTTACATCTTTCTTTTGCTGTCTTCAGGAGAGCATACTCTTCCCATTCTTTGCAGCATTTTCTCATCCTCCGCAGGCTTGCCTCCTTCCGCTGCATGTGACCTCTCCTGGCATTCTCGCCAGGGGCCCTGCCAAATCTTTGCACCGGTCATCTGGTGGCTTCATCATCAACACATGCTCCCATTTGGAGCTCAGTGTGGCACTCTCTAGGTCCAATTGGCACGTGACATTTCTCAAAAGTCTAGGCCCAGAATGCATGTCTTGCACTTCAGCTATCCAGACTAAGGGGTGCATATTCCTGCCCCCAACTGTTAGTGTCAGCCATGCTCTTCCCCTCATCGATGCTAACTCGGTGATGATGCAGAGATGGACTGCTGTGTTCTCCAGCTCGAACCTTGTGGGTGCCACCTCTAGCCTGTGTGCACCGGAGCATGCATGGAACTCAATAGAAACATGACATAAGTCTGATGTGGATGTTCGCCCCACCATGCCCACTGTAAGCTCGCTGCCTTTCTCATGGCCTGGGCAGCACTCATCTGGGATCTGCAGGATAATAATGTGGGGTCCTGCAGCTCACTGCGACCCCAGCAAGTTTTCTGCCGACTTCATCCCCAATGGACAAGCCCTAGTCAGATGTCCCAGCTGGCCGTACATCCAACACCAGTGGGCCCGCACCGCTGGCTGTGTGGCAGCCTACGGATTACTTGCGTCATCTGCTCCATCCATGCTGGCAACAGTGGCACACATGACTCCTCCATAGCTCTGACTGTTGTAATGGCAGTATCTACACACTGTGAAGCTTCTGACAACACCATTCCTCTCTCTAGCATCTTCTCCAAGGCCTCTTGCAAGTCTCATGGGTGGATAAGCTTTGTGTGGATGTGTAACTCAGTTGGACACAGAGCCATGATGAACTGGTCTAACTGTGGCTGCAAAGAAGGTGGCATGTAAGCATAAGCTAGTCTAGTCTTTGTCGGTTACACAGCTCAGATCAGATGAGCTGGGGTTGGTAACACCGCCCAAAATGCCTCTGGAGCACCCAGACTATGGCACTGTAATTAGACCTCTCACTATGGTCAAGCATTAGCAGGCAAGCTAGTGCATCATCATTTTATTTCACATCAAACCACTCTGAATGACTTTGTTTACATCTCGACAATTGAATTATGCAGGAATAACATATTTTTTTGAGTTGTCATGGTTCTATATACAACCATTGCCTTTACTAAAAAAACCCTTAAAGAACCCCCTTTTTTAAGTGTGTAGCCTAAGCATGGTTTCTGTAATCAACGGATGAGTGTCTGATCCTAAAGACAAAGCCAACATAACTTAGCAGTTACAAGAGGACAAATGCCAATCATCACGAAAAAGATTAAATAGCCACAAAGCACCATGTTGTCTTCTGAAGCTTTCTATAAATAAAATATGAAATTAGGAAGAGTGGCAGCACATTTAGAGAGCGGGGGCAGGTGTACTCAGGCAGAGGACAGGACTTAACCTTATGGTCACTGTTTAACAGCAAATCAAACAGAGGATCAATGACCAACAATCCAGTGACTTTCTTTACAAACTGTTTATTACCACTGTTTTCTCACAGTCTTAGCAAAGAGTGGAATTTCATATTTAGGGATATAAATAAGGCAAAACAATTAGGGTACTGTAACTAAGAGCTGCTTCATTTTCTCTTGATCTTGACATTTAATAGTTAATGTGTAAAAGAGAATTCATTTTCATATCACTCTTGGTTATTCATGAACAATGTTAAAGATTTAAACCTATCATATTATCATATTACGCTGCTTTCATCATCCTACTTGTCAGTGATACAAAACAATAGCTACCAACCAGAATGCTGGATTCACATAAACACAACTATTTACTATAAAGCACTACTTACAATAAAGCATGTGTCCGCTTGTCGCATGCGTATGAATTATATATATATATATATATATATAATATATATATATATACATGCTCAGCGCTACCTTAACATAAAGCACAGTGAGGGGGTAACATGGGAGGACACAATACACATAGAGGATAGACAGGCTTACACACAAAGCCCGCCCTCCACAGACACATCCCAAGAGTCACTTTTTCTGAGAAAAAATATATCAACTGGCTTTAGAGATCTTTACATTTTTGAGTGCTTCTGTAAATGTGGAAGGTCCTTTGTGCTTTGTCCGTACAGCTCTATATGTTTCTGAGAAAATTGTAAAGAATTAATAGGTGCTTTCAAAATTTCGTTTGGAAGGACAATCAACATCAGCTCAAAAGCTCAGTGTTGTCCTGCAAAACAGTTGGGGTGGAAAACTTGGACTTTTTTGATGAACTAGTTGAGAAGGTGTTTGCAGAATGCAGATTCTGTGTGGTACTTCATCCCTTACCATATCTTGGGAAACCTAGTGGTCTACATCTAGTTTTGATTGTTTACCCTTTCAATTACCCATAAATCTTTCTAATTTTCTCCAGTAGGCTTTGCTACCACAAATTGCATTGCAAAAATATCAGCGTTTGTAACAGAAATGGAGCATTACACCCCTTAAAATTATGAGCAATGGGAAGAACGATAGTTTCCGCAAGTATCTGGAGATTACTGGAGCAGATTACATTGCAAACGGTGATCGTCAAAGTCTAAACATGACACACTGATGTGAAGCATAATGAACCACTATCGGCTTTTTAGCAGACAGAATACTAATGATGGTCAGTAAAAGTTTCTAGAGTGGCCACTATTTATAATTATTGTGGATGAGGGGTGTCAATCAAAAGATGATTGAAAAAGAAGATTGACCTTTTGACTTTGGTAGAAAGCACAGTTAAGACACATATCATTTAGCTTCATAAAACAGTGCATTTGCATAGTTTGACTTGACTTGTTTTAAGTTAATGTTTCATGTCTCTATTTAGTTTGTTAAAACTGGAAAAAGTGGCATGATCGTGTTAAGAGAAAAAGACATGCAAAAATATGGTAAGCGAGCACTGCTGTAAGTCACCCTGTAAAGCTGGAAATAATCATTTAAAAGCCAGAGATATTGCGTTGGATTTCACAGGCGTCTTTCAAACCATTTCATATGCCTTTATGTATTAACGCAACACACACAGGCTGAAAAAGGTCCAGCTCAATGTTTAAGTCTCAAATGCAAAACCAACATTATACTATTGAAGATACCCTGATCAGACATAACATTATGACCACCTCCTTGTTTCTACGCTCATTGTCCATTTTATCAGCTCCACTTACTATATAGGTACACTTTGTAGTTCTACAGTTACAGACTGTAGTCCATCTGTTTCTAGGCATACTTTATTAGCCCCCTTTTACCCTGTTCTTCGGTGGTCAGGACCCCCATGGACCCTCACAAGTACTATTTGGGTGGTGGATCATTCCCAGCACTGCAGTAACACTGACGTGGTGGTGGTGTGTTAGTGTGTGTTGTGCTGGTGCGAGTGGATCAGACACAGCAGAGCTGCTGGAGTTTTTAAACGCTGTGTCCACTCACTGTCCACTCTATTAGACACTCCTACCTTGTCAGTCCACCTTGTAGATGTAAAGTCAGAGACGATAGCTCATCTGCTGCTGCACAGTTTGTGTTGGTCATCCTCTAGTCCTTCATCAGTGGTCACAGGACGCTACCCACAGGACGCTATTGGCTGGATATTTTGTTTGGTGGACTATTCTCAGTCCAGCAGAGACTCTGAGGTGTTTAAAAACTCCAGCAGCACTGCTGTGTCTGATCCACTCATACCAGCACAACTCACACTAACACACCACCACCATGTCAGTGTTACTGCAGTGCTGAGAATGATCCACCACCCAAATAGTATCTGCTCTGTGAGCATCCATGGGGGTCCTGACCACTGAAGAACAGGGTAAAAGGGGGCTAACAAAGTATGCAGAGAAACAGATGGACTACAGTCTGTAATTGTAGAACTACAAAGTGCACCTGTATAGAAAGTGGAGCTGATAAAATGGACAATGAGCGTAGAAACAAGGAGGTGGTCATAATGTTATGCCTGATTGGTGTATGATGACAATAGTAGATATTTCACCTTGATCCTCTGATGACATGCCCTGTCTACAGTTTTTTAACAGGTAATTAGTAGTCTGTAGAGGCAGAAACTGCATTGTACTGTTTAAGCACTGTTCTGCTAATGGCCCACACAAAGTAGTTCACACAGATTGTTTGGAGTTTGTATACTGGTGGAAGAAGTTTGGTAGACTGATGATCCAATTGAATACAGGACATCATGCTAATCAACATTCAGAATGCTTTATTTTGTCACAGTGTCCAAAAAATGTTCAAAAGTTGATTTGTTAACAAATCTGTATCAGATTTGATAAGGGTAGAAAATGTTCCCAATCCATGCCTGTGCCAACAAAATGATAATTCTACTTTTACACTTAATCCACATAAACTACTACTTTCTGGTTTTACAGCTCCTAAATAAACAATCTAAACAATCCTGCAGCTGTGGTACACTCATAGCCTCTCCTAATATTCTTACAGGAAACCTGCTTTCTGTAAAATAGTAAATATAGAATGTCCAACTGACTAAATAAAGCATGTCCTAAAACAGTACAGGCTTTTTTTCTGTATCTGTTGTTTTAGACTGTAACTCCGTCCATTATTATGTGAAACAAATCAATATTTGATCACAGAAAATGTTCAAAAGTTACTGTGATAAATTTCTGGTGAAAAGGTATAAAGAAAATAGGTCAAATAGCATGTTCACAGGAGCAGAACTCAGCTTTTATCTTTTCAAAAATGTCAGAGGAGTCCCTCTTTGTTCATCACCCAGGTACATTTGAAGAAAATTCTGCACCTCTGGATTGAAGAGGTCTATGTGGAAGTCTCTGGCTGTTGAAAGTTCATCGTATTTCACTTCACCTGTGCACAGATCTTTCAGACCCCAGCTGACAACTCCAACCTGTTAAAGGTAAATCAACACATGATCAAACTTCTCACCCTTTGGAGCATGACTTTGCTGCAGTTTTCAGATTAAACCTGAAGAATGTTAAAGTGCAAACTGTTATCTGATTCTTTTAAGGCATTTTACACAAATCTAGAGATGTCATGATCAATCGGTTAAACTTCTACAGTAAGAAACAAAGCCTGATAGACTCTGATAGAGCCATTTATATACATTTTATGCACTTCAAGTGCTTAATTATATTTTTTCCATTTTTTTTTTACAAAGGCTTCCAAGAAATTAGCATTTTTGGAATCTTTGAAATTATTTGAATAGTTTGTTATTGTTTAAATAAGTCAGTTTTGTATTGTTTGGCCTCTTAAAAACATGAATTACTCAGTTAAAGATAAATCATTGATAGATAAGTCAACCGCTAATGATTTGACACAAAACTGAATGATCAAATCTAAATCAGAAGGGGAAGGGGACTTGAACTCTGACCTGGAATGCCCGAACCTTTTGCTGCACAAATGTAGCCCCACCAGAGTCACCTGAAAAATGCCGCAGACGTTCACATCTAAACTTGATCTGACACGGTTGACATGACATGCTTTTTATATAATATAGAACAGTAAAGACAGTTTACAATGTAATTACAAACAAGGGCCTTGTTGTTGCCCTCAGATTAACCATGTAACGTAACATACCAGGAATCTAATGTAAAGATTCAGATTTAAAATCCAACACACTCAAAGAGCAATTCCACCAATTTTACAAAAATGTGTGCATAACTAAATTGCCGACGTGTAAACTACTGTGACTGAAATTGACCCCTATTCCCTCGTTAAATAAATAAATTAATTCAGACACTTCCTCATTATCAGCCTGCGTCAGTACTTACCAGTTTTTACGCTTTTTTGTTATTTTATTTACAACTATTTTGTGACTATCAACATAACATATAAAAATCCAGAAGATATGTATATGTTTACTGGTTGTTTTGGATAGTAAAATCTATATGGCTATATGAATCGTTGTATTTGTGTTGTAGACATTACAACCCCAGGTTCCTATCACATAAAACCATAGTGAATGATTTTGTTTACTGAACTGGTTTTTAAATTACTCAGAAATTTTGAAAATTGGTCTGTTTCCCCTTTAATACATTCCAAGGCTACAGTGCACTTAATCTGTGTCCAGGACACTGTTCCTGAATTGTGTATGATCAATTGGTTAATAGTAAATTACCTTTGCAAGAAACTTCATCTACATGATTTTGTTCCTCTCCACCAGTGCACAAGAAATTGTCTGTAATAAGCAGCCTTGCTTTTTCATCTGAGATATTCAATGCCTTTTTGGCATCTTCAATACACGCATCTCTCTAAAGAAAAAGCAAAAACAGAGTACATAATCATTAGTGTGACAGTGATTAGTGATAGTGATTAGTGATATTTCTTTCTATGCCCTTATTTACAGCAGCTCATGCTGAAAGTAAGTTATGAGCATCTGTAAAAAGTAAAATGTTAAAACAGAATTATGTGGAACTGAACTGCATTCCCACCAGAAGTGAACTCTGGTGTTCACTAGAGTTCGCTAGAAGCGAAATGAGACTGGTGATTTTCGCATGACCGCAGTTCTGTGGTTGGTGGGGACCTGAATACAGGTACAGTGTTCACACGTCAGAACGGACTAAAGAAAAATTTAATTGCCCAGACCAAACAAGCGACACTGTACACTTAAATTAGTTGACATTACTTAAAAAATCATACAAACTTACAAAACATACAAACAGGTTTAAGCTAAAATAACTATATATGAGTTACAGTTACTTTCTAATTTTCAGTGATCCACACTTCTGCAGCAAGTAAGGTTAACTCATACAACTCAGTAATTACAAATGGTGTCCACTGAGCTGACAGTACTCTACTTTTTCAAGTTCTGCTTACGATTGATGTATCTAAATTAACTTGAAACCAATATTCTTCCTTATGTAATGTACTGGCCTCATTTACAAAAACCTCATTATATTAAAGGAACTGTTTTGTACAGTAACAAGTAAACAGCTTAGATAAGACAGCCATCTCTGGGGACTCTAATAGCTTAGTGAATATTTGCAATTTATTAAATTCCCATAGTGTTGTAACTGAACACGAACTCACAAAGTTTTTACTGTCTGGAAAATGAAATGGACATTTTCATTGGTTCTGCTAATGAGTTTTTTGTTTTTTTGTTTTTTTTTTTTAGTTTTATGTTTATATGTTAGCGCTCTATAACAGTAAGCATTCTGAATTCAATCAAAAACTGGTGAGTCGTTACACCAGTACTGTAAAAAAGTGGGGGGTCAAACGCTCGCTCGCCCCTGTGGTTCCGGCAGCCCTGGGCTTCAATGAGATTGTATGTATCTTACTGCAGTCTCATAGCTCATGTAAGTCTAAGTTGGGCAGTTAAAGTTTCATGGCTAAGATTTTATTGTTATTTTATTGTTACTTATGGTAAAAATGGGATTTTGTGACATCACAAAAGCAAAGAATTCAAAACATTGTTTTTGCAGTTGGACTGCAATGATTGGGGAGTGAATGGTAGGTTTTGAAAACATATTTTAAATTTGAACATTTTAAATTTGATGCCAGCAACTTGTTTCAAAAAAATTGTTGCATAACCTCTTCTTTTAACAACACTATGCATATAGGAACTGTGGAAATCAATTGCTGTAGTTTTGAAAGAGAAATGTTTTCTCATTCTTGCTTGATATATGATTTCAGCTGCTCAACAGTTCAGGGTCTTTGACAGGTCTGGACTGTGCCTGGACTCTGTTGCTACAGAGTCATGCTCTTTAATCCCAGAAGAATGTGGTTTGGCATGGTTTGGTTTCCTGAAAAAGACATCATCTGGATAGCAGTGTATGTTACTTCAAAACCTGTGTATATCATTCGGCATTAATGGTCCCTTCACAGATGTGCAACTCACCTGTGCCATGTGCCCATAATGCACCCCACACCATCACAGATGCTGGTGATGATGGTTCCTCTCCTCTTTAGCCCAGAGGACACAGCGGCCATGATTTCCAAAAAGAATTCCAAATTTTGATTTGTGAGACCACAGAAGACTTAGGCCCAATCCTATTTCACCCCTTGCCCCTACCACTTAGCCCTTAGCCCTCTGTTTTGCGCGTTGACGTCTAGGGTAAGGGTGTCCCAGTTTTTGTTGAGATAGAGGTGTAGGGCGAAGTGTTAGGGCTACATGGCCCTCCAAACAGAGGTTTTTCAGAGGCGCACTCCAAACAGAGTGTTATGAGAAAAAAAGAAAACCCAGCAAGATGGCTGCACGAGCAACCAAAGAAACCCACAAATATAAGTATTTTCTCTGTTAAAAAATGATGATAATCATTGTATTTTCTCAGTTTCAATGTATTATGGTCTTTTTCTTCTAATAGTATGCTAATGTCTCGGTAGCTAGCTAACTTTCCCGTTCCATCTTAAATAGTCCAGCAGTATTGATGCTTGTAGCACCAGAATGTAACTGCTGCACCATTTAAGGTGGAATGGGAAAAAAAAGAGGCTGGTGGTATCACCAAAGAATTAGCGGTGGGCGATAATAAATAATTGTCTTAAACCCCCTCTTTGAAAGCATATTATGCCCTAAATGTAACTAAAGTCCAGCAGCGAGGTTGCTGAACTTTATCCTTCTCTTATATCACTGAAGACGGGCCAGGTCACCTACAGAGCACCGCTACTAGGCTATTAATGAAGCAGTGTTTTTTTTTGTTTTTTTTTGTAAATTTGAGGGTTGTCCCATTTCGTAGGTCAAGATTTCAACCATTACCCCTTGTAACTCAGTTCCAAGGGGTTAGGGTGACACTCGAAAACAAGGGGTAGGGGTAAAAAGAAGAAATGGGATTGGGCCTTCGACTTGCACTTGCAGTCTTTCACAGAGTGGTGAACACTAAAAAACCCCGTCTTTACTTCTAAAAGCATCTCTGGAATGCTATTTTTATACCCATTCATTTTACTGACCTGTTGCCAGTTAACCTCATTAGTTGTGAGATGGTCCACCAGGTGTTTTTTTTTTAGCATTACACAATTTATACAGTCTTTTGTTGCCCCTGTCTCAACTTTTTTGAAACTCACTGCTGGCATCAAATTCAAAATGGGCATACATTTTTCAAAGAACAATGAAATTTCTATGTTTCAACATTTGATATGTTGTCTTTGTACAATTTTCAATTAAATACAAGGTTTAAATTATTTGCACATCATTGCATTCCTTTTTGCACAGCGTCCCAACCTTTTCAGAAAGTTTTTTTTTTATTACATAAGTGTTCATGTTATTTATTTATGTAAGTGTTCCATGTTATGTGTCCTTTAAATTTAATTAAAGCAGGACAACCAAAGGTTTTATTTGATTTGTTGCAGTCACATTTTTGCTGCTTTCTGTTGTGTAAAGGCTGAAAACCTGTTTTAGTAATGACAATAAGAGCTACTGTATGTTGGTGTGTCTCTCTAATGACTGCAATAGATTCTTCTTTAAGGACAAATACCTTTCCATTTTAAAAATGCATTGCAAATTAGGAGTTCTTCATAACCAAAAGCAGTAAAATTTAACTTTACCTTATGCCCCAGTTTGATCTGCACATCGTTCTTTGGAAGCATGCCTTGTTTTTGTTTAGCTGACATAAAGAAAGCATTAACAAGGTCACCTGTCAGAAGCTCTTCCTCTGTAAGGGAACAAATGCAAATGTAACAACATTTCATGTCTAATGTGATTTTGTTGTTATATTTGTTGGTAAGCTTATATATTCATACATATTTATACATGCTGTATCTTTTTACTCACTGTGTTTTGCGCATGTCACATCACTGCCAGACAGTCTTAGAGCCCCACTCGTCTCCTTGGTGCAGGGAATGCAAATGGGTCTAGGATTGAGTTATGAGTGGAATTATTAAAATCATGTTAGCCCCCGTGATTCAGGCAAGAGTGTCCTTTAGACAAAGTGCTTTGAATAACTTTTTTGATCTCTTTTAGGCCAAAATAATGTCAAGGTTACATGTTAAGATTCTGTAGCTTTATTTTATAGTTTGGGGGGGCTTGTGCTTTGTATCATTTTTAACTTGTAAAGATGTAAATTGGAAGGCTGAGCCATTCTCTGTGCCTTTGCTGTCAAACGCTGCATGAATTTGGGTGCATCAAGTTTTTGTAATTTTGATTTGATTGGTAGTATTCATGTAGGCCACTCACCTGAGACTGGCATCAGCTTTTATCTCCTGTTCTAGTTCTATGAGAGCCACATCATGTTCATAATACTCTGAAATTCCTTCTGACACTTTACCTCTGGGTTTGTATTTTGGATGAAGCATGAAATCCTTTGCCTTTAGTGGCTGCAAAGCTAAAAAAGAGGGAGGGGATTATTAGTGCCACTAGTTATTACTAGTTAACTATGTTTTGTTATTTTTGTCTTGTTTTATTTTATTCACTTTCAAATGAAAAAGAGTATAGCTTTGTTATAATTGCAAGCTGTACAATTGCTAGTAGGTGTCTCGAGTTTGATATTATCAGGAAGATCTTCGAACTTGAAGCAGTGGGCCGCAGTTAGAATGAATGAAGGAGTGACCAGCGATCCTAAGCAGTTTGATGATGTGCCATCTTCACGCTGTGAAGAGCAAGAAAAAAGTGTGCTATACATATTTAGCTTGTTAATGTTTACTAGTCTAATTCCTAACAGTTCAAAAAACAAAAGAGTTTCTAAATCAGGGGTGCAGCACTTTGGTGTTGGAGGGCCAGTGTTCAGCACCATTTTGAGGTTCATCTACTCAAACACATCCAGTAAACTTGACAATTACTAGATGAGTTGCATCAGGTGTATTTGAGCAGGTAAACCACCAAACTGTTCTGGACACCAGCTGTCCAGGACCAGAGTTGTGCACCCCCGTTCTAAATGATCTTGCTCACAAAAATGGCCTTAACTCAACAACTTCAAGGCATTTGTGTTATGAAAGAACATCTTTTTCTGCTGCCTTTCAGAAGGAAACTGATCTCAATACTGTGTGGTCTGTTAAGGCAGAATATCTATGAATATATGAGCTTAAATCCAGATACAAAATAGAATAAATCAAATAATCAAGACGATGCTCACAGTCACAAAAAACTGGATCAGCCAGGGGTAACTTTGGCGCTTGGCTTCATGGCTTTGTTCATCATAGTTTCTGTAGCTTCTGTAGAGTCCACACAGACCCACACTAGTGCTTTCATCTATGTGTAGAGAAAACACATACAGTGAAAGTAGCAGATGCAGTAGTAGACAAAGTAAAACACAGCTAAAATATACATAGTACAAACACAGAGAAGGAAGTATGTAAGTACCAATCATCTCATCAAAGGTTTGTTGCACGTCTTCCATGTTTGGGAGTAAGAAGAAATGCTTTTCATTTGGTCTGTTTGTCACCCAGAAATCGATATCCTCCTTCTGTACATCTTCGCCCACTCCAAACGCGTATATATCTGTAAAACAACCATATCTGTATCAGTATATACATATTGTTTATTATTTACTAGGACATGTGCATCCATAGCACCCAGCATGTTCAGCTAATCAGCATTTTAAATTGCAATTACTCATATATTCCAGTAGTTAAGTTTGAGTATTAAACACTATAACAGGGAAAATATGCATGGATAAGAAGGCATGGAGTCACCTGCTAGCAGACTAAAACGTTCAGTTGAACAAAGGAAAATTTTGAAGTATTCACAAATAAACTGGATTTATACACTTTCCACTGTAGACATGCATTTCTGAGAATTAAGAAAAATAATGCAGGCCACTAAACGAAGATTAAAAGATTGTGAACACCACAACAAAAAAATCTCCAAGAGTTCTCCATAATTAAATGGTTAAGATGTAAAGTCATTCAGAGTAGTTTGATGTGAAATGCTGACACCCCAGTGCTCCCACTACAATCCTCCCTCCTTTAAAACAGTTTGCTCCATCTGGCAGTCCAAGAAAAAGTAAACTTAAATAAAATATTCATTGAATAGAATATTTTCTGTAGAATCTTGAAGAAAAGTGAATATTAACATGAACATAAATACTGACACTTAGCATAGCACCTGAGAAATTATAGATAATACTATTATTAATTTTATCAGCAGCAACAGGCCCATTCAAACGGGCTCCCTCAGATTTCCTTCTATACATTTTCAAATATAAAATGTTATTTGTACTATGGTTTGGCTAAATACTTGATGGTTATTATTTACTGAGACATGAGCATCCATAGCACCCAGTATGCTCAGCTAATCAACATTTTAAACTCAATATTTAATCAAAAGTCAGTTTCAATCCATTGCTTTCCATTTTGCATTAGTCCAGAGTTGTAACTAAACCTTGGCTGAGAGACGTGATAATCATTGTCTTGTTTTAAAAGAATGTGCGCCAATGTTTGCCGTCATGTACGTATATTGTCTGGACTGGACTCCACAGAGGTTGCTGCGGCAAAGCACAAGTTTTATTTTGTGCACTGCGGTTATCTTTCCTGAGCTGCCATTCGTATACCCCTGCCCATTGGTTTTCGTCAAACGAAACAAATAGTTGTATTTCATTCTCAAAGACTAGAGAGATGCACTGACCAGCTAGTACATCAATTTTTGTTTGTTAAACCTTACTGTTATTTGCTGACATCAAACTGATACCTGATTGCTATTTGTTTTTTTTTTCATAACCAGATGGATAGGTCTGCTTCATCCCCTCATCGAAATTGTGTATGGCAGGATATTTTTGGTTGGTGGACTATTCTCAGTCCAGCAGTGACACTGAAGTGTTTAAAAACTCCAGCAGCACTGCTGTGTCTGATCCACTCATACCAGCACAACACACACCAACACACCACCACATCAGTGTCACTGCAGTGCTAAGAATGATCCACCACCCAAATAATATCTGCTCAGTGGGGCTTTTGCCCATTGAAGAATAATGTGAAAAAGGGCTTACAAAGTAGGCAGAGAAACAGATGGACTACGGGCTGTAATTGTAGAAATATAAAGTGCACCTATATGGCTATATAACTACATATATTCTTACCAAGATATTCATCCCGTTTCATATCATCTCCATGGTACACAAGTTGCTTGATTTCATTAACATGGTGTATGGGGTTTCCTCCCATATTGTATATACCTGCAGACACAGTGAAAGAGGAGCGACTGAAATTAATCATTTACTTTGTGCTTTCATGCTAAAAAATACTTTGTACAAAGACAAGATCAATACCATCAGTGAACATGATGATGACATGACGGGTTTCAATGAAGGCTGTTATATTGCTGGTCTTCTCAAAACTCATGCTGTCCAAAATAGTTTTGTAGGCTTTGGCAATATTCGTTCCTGATTTCTGTCCTTTATCTGCCAATTACAAAACATCATATAAAAAGGAGATGGTACACAGTTTTCATAATACTGTGTAAAGGGATTAAAAACTGTCATGTCACTGCCACTAATACTCTGAATAAAAAGATCCTTGCATATAATAAATAATACATTTTTATTGGCTGGTGTAATGCTCATACATGGACTGTGTTTACATGAACTGGAATTGGAAACATTTAGTTCACTTTAACTGAGATTAAGTGCAATTTTTTCTCAAACAGGTGTAAAAACAAGATCAAAAGCTCACCGTCATATTTATAATCCTTCAGCGTGTTGATAATTTTATACAATTTTCTTTCATCTTCCCTTTTGTAATCTGCAATGCTAACTATTCTTGTTGCTTCTGTGGCAAAAATGATAATCTCATAATTTGGAGAGACCTCATAGTAGCTGATCTGTTGGTAAACAGAATAAAGTCAGTCAGTCAGGACTACATTCAAAGTAAATCACATAGAATATATCTGTGAAACTGATGCAGAAATATAGTGTGTATTTTGTTTGTATTTTGAGATAAGGGTGTGAACATTCCAAACCAGGCTGCATCTTCAAAATGGAGAAACTCGAACAGTGAGGCTTTAAACATTAAACTGCATTTTTTGAAAACCACCTAGTCCAACTTTTATTCTGACATACCTTATCTATGAGCTTTATAATGATCTCCTTTGCTCGTTCAAATTCCTCTTCCTCTATGCTGTCAGATGCATCCAGAGCAATGTAGATGTTGAGCTTTCCTTTCTGGTCCAGTATGATTTTCTTCCCTTGTTGACCTGATGTGTGGTGTTGTGTATGCATTAATGAGGTTAGAAATATAAATAGTTAATGTAATGAATGTCAATAAAGGCTTCCAACAAGTCAGTTATTAAATTCATTGTAGAGTAGTGGCATCAAAATGGAGGTATTCATGTATTTATAAGCAACTTTATTTTATTGAAAACAGTAATTCTGAATTGTGATTCCAGACTTTTGAATGTTATTGTATTACAAGTGAAGAAAACACCTGTCTTTATTCCTTTAACAACTACTATTTTGAAAATGTATGTTGTGAGTTCCTGCTCTACCGTTTTCCTCGTGTGTGGTCAGAGTAGTCTTTAAAGTGCTGCCAAAAGCCTCCGCTACTTCTGCTGGGGTGTCGTATGTGTAATCAGCTACAATGAGAAAACATGAACACATCAGAAACCCAGTATCAATAAAACCACTCATAACCCTTTACTGTTTGTAGGCTGTAGAATATTATGTTGGACTGCTCTTTGTTTCCTGTGGCAGGCTGCCATGAGAACTCACCATAGCACTCTGGCTCTCGTCCTGACCACTGGCCACCATCCTGACACACACGCACTTTGGAGCCCAGCAGTTTCAGCTTATTATCACAGCGGTAGGTCACTTTGTCATCAATATTGAAAATGTGCCCTGTTCTGCTGGCACCAGGGGGCGTACCAGGATCAGGGCAGTGATCAGCTGTGGGTTGGAGACGTTTCATCATTAAACATAGATGGGCGTACGTTTGAGGTTTGTGCAATAAGCGTTCATGCAGACAGTATTAAGGCTACAGACTATTAAAGGGGATATCATGGAGAACTGAATTTTCCTCACTTTTCTGAAATAAAAGCTTTTGATGTGTGTAAACACTCTTAAAATATCCAAACAAACCAATCAACAAACCAACCAGTCCATACAGTCCGTATATGGAAACTAAGCTGCAAATACAGACCATTTTGAATATATTGTTTTTGTGACGTTGTAAACTTTACATTTATTCGCTTATTCAGTCTAAAGCAGTTTAGCCCCGCTCATTCACACTGAACTTTAAGCAGTGTTTCTTTTTGAATGGTGCATAGTACAGAGAGTATATTGTGCCATAAATACCTTTCCCTTAGCATAGTGTACCTAGGGCAGTCGAAGCCTGCGGTACCGCAATGATGCGACGCAAGCAGTTTTCTTCTCAGCTGTGGTAATTTAACACAACAAAGCAATTTAAGCTCTGGTCAGTAAGGGATGTAGTGAAACTCCAAATGATTTGGTCTTTTATAATGATTTTACCAATCCCAGTCCTGGCTACGCCACACTATACACAATTTTGTGCTTTGTCTCATCTAATTCAGCCTAATTCAGCTATTTTATTTCTGCAAAATAAAAAATATATGCCTGTAATTTTATTTATTTAATAGAATCATCATGTTTGTTGTATTTAAGCTATATAAAGTATTACAGTAATACTCTACTTTCATTATTAAGTTTTGTTTATAAACAAAAAGATTAAATTCTTAAAACTCCCAAACAATCAGGATTTTTTTCTCTGTGGTGATGAGGTAGATACAGCCAAGCGAGCTCTCATAGGTTAAGACTTCAGGAGCTAAACTGAAAGTCCAATGTGTGAAAATAACCTCTAACATCATAATCAGGAACTGATGGTGGAATCAATGAATCTTGAATGCTTTGATTTACATGAGTAGGACTAATTTTATCAGAAAAAAAAGTCACTCTAGGTGTTCTGGAAGTCCTAGATATGTCACTGAATGTGAGTATGAGTGGTAGAAATGAATAGTGCACTTGCTGCTGAATGAGAGCTCTTTACAGATTTTTCTGGACGTAAAAAACTGCTACAAGGTAAAATATTTGTTAATATGTCTGTTACACTCTTCAGATGTCTGCATTTAATCTAAAACATCCAAAAATGTTTCCTATTAGCTTAGTTAGTTGTCCACAACATGTGGATTAGGACATGTAATCTCTGGACAAATGGGAGATAAAATGGTGAAAAGTTGCTGAATGAAAATGACATAGTGCTATGCTTTTAAAGTGATTCATTCACACTATGGAAGCATATCAAAAATGTAATATGGAAAACAGCAACGTATATGTATGTTTGCATATAAATTTCCCACTCATATACACAATGTTGAGCTCAAAAGGAAAATTCAAATTCAACTGCGATTTTAATTTGCCATTTGGTGCACTAGTGCTCAAAGATGTAAATGCTTTATGAAGAGCTTTGTTTAAATAAAGATTCATTTCCAGAACTGCATGTAATTATGCAATAATTGTGTCAAAATGATCATTAAAAGGTCATTTATTTTATATGCATTTTCACTCTCTAATAATGCATTTGAAATTGAAAAGAGAACACCAAGTTAGAAAGATGTCAAAATTTAAATGTATCAAGGGGAACAGCTCCTCTCCTGTTTTCCACATTCTGTGGAAAGATGCCTTTGAAAATGTATTTGACCAGAATGCTACAAAATTAGCATTTTATAAGAAGTTTTTGATAACTGAAGGCCTTACTGTAATAATCATACACATGACAAAGTGATAGTAGCGAAAAAGAAAAACATAAATAATCAGGCTAAGACCACCACACAGGCTCTATACTTACAGTCACGGCTACAAATTGGTGTGCTGCCACTCCACTTGCCGTTGAGCTGGCACACACGTGTGGAGGACCCCCGGAATGTGTAATCAGAATGACACCTGTAGGTGGTCGTGTCATTCACATAGTACAGCGGCTTATAGGGCTCCACGACTCCATTGTCCAGACCATGTGGATTAGGACATGTAATCTCTGGACAAATGGAAGATAAAATGGTGAAAAGTTGCTGTATGAAAATGACATAGTGCTGTGCTTTTAAAGTGATTTATTCAGGATAGTTTGTTGAGACTTACTCCTGCAGTCTGCTCGTCTTTTGGTGGGCGCTGGATCCCACTTGCCTCTGGAACACTGCCGCTTTTTTACAGGATATGGATAATAACCCTGTGGGCAGTGGAACTTCAGGGTGCTACCTTCATCATAATTCTTGGAGAGAGTGAAGGTGCCTCCTGTGATGTTTAGGTTGCTATCTGGGCACTTAAGCTCAGATGGAGCACCTACACAGAGACCAATAGGATCAAATATGTAGTGAAAGAACAAAAAGTACAGTACAAGAGCAAAGAAAGTATGGAAGCATATCAAAAATGTAATATGTAAAACAGCAACGTATATGTATGTTTGCATTGAAATTTCCCACTCATATACGCCACGTTGAGCTCAAAAGGAAAATTCAAATTCAACTGCGATTTTAATTTGCCATTTGGTGCACTAGTACTGACATTTCATTTACAGAAAGATGTAAGTGCTTTATGAAGAGCTTTGTTTAAATAAAGATGCATTCCCAGAACTGCATGTAATTATGCAATAATTGTGTCAAAATGATAATTAAAAGGTCATTTATTTTATATGCATTTTCACTCTCTAATGCATTTGAAATTGAAAAGAGAACACCAAGTTAGAAAGATGTCAAAATTTAAATGTAACAAGGGGAACAGCTCCTCACTTGTTTTCCACATTCCTTGGAAAGATACCTTTGAAAATGTATTTGACCAGATTGCATTTTCATTTTCACAGACTTCCCAGCCTGTCAATCATCTCATCAGGGCGGGGCCAACAGCACACTCAGCGGAAAAGGCTTTATCTGAAAACATGGTGGCTGATCTTTCGTTGGTTGAAGTGTTTGTGACTGTTAGCTGACAGATGCGGCAGATACAGATTAATCCAGCAGCGAGGGCTGTTTTCCAACTGATAAAGATGTGAATATATTGCTGTGTTCCACTTAATCTGTTACCAAAAATGTACTCATAAAACGATTTAGTTGTAACTGCACTGGTACACATAGACATGTATAAATCACACAACCACTATGCCGTAGTAGCTGAGTTAGCAGAAGCCACTGAATTGTGTCGGTACCGTGTCATATTTCAACCGAATTCATCTATGAGGTCTGCTCTTTTACAGTTATTTACAAGAGGGAATTAAAAGAAAGAAGAGCTTCTATAAGCGGCAGTAAAATAAATGTAAACACATAAGCAGGGCTTATACCATAAGTGCTCTACTACTATATTTAAGGACCTTTAAGTATTTGGATTTTACAGGATAATTTGAACCTTTGAAATTTTACTCCACTTAAATTAATTAGCATGTATTCTGCCTCTGGTGTTACAATATTGTCTAAAACCAGTTACTGTGCTGATTATTTCAAACTGATGTGAACTGGGAAAGACGGCACCTATAATTTTGATAAAGCTACATATCACTTTATTTGTTTGGGGATTTAGGATCTATATACTCTAAAATATATTTTTAGGTGTTTTATTCAATATTTAAAGAATTCAAAAAATGATCAAATGATGAATCATACACTGTAATAAATTTGAGATCTACATGTTTGAAATATGATGAATTTTGGATGTTAATTTTATGTTAAATTACTCCTTGTTGCTATACAGCTTTTTCTGTGATTTTAAATGAATCTACAGCTTCAATAATCATTCTTGACACTTTTCTGGAAATCCTGGGCATTTCTTCTTTTTTGTACAACTTCATAGCTTCATACTAATTATGTGAAACTTGTGATGTTGAACAAGTCTAGCAGATTAGAATCATTTGCACAAACATGTCTGCTGATTCCACTGATTCCAAACTTTTGAACACTAATACGTATATATACATATACTGACATATATTTATACTAACTGTTTTAACTTTTAACTTTTAGCATAGTTTGGCAAAAAAAAAAAATCAATTGTACATAATTTTTCACTTACGCAATACGTAGTTCATCAGCCACAACATGGTGTTTGAAGTTTACTTGGCCAAAGTTCACCTTTCAAGGGGACTGATGCTGCTGTTTTTAACTATTTAGTGTCAGTTTTATATCTAATGGTATATAACCACTATATCAAGTCTGTTTGCGATTACTTAACAACACAGTTTGAGGCACTATGATGATTTAAGCATGAGTTTACGCAAAGCTAATTGGTGTTGTATAAACTTCAACATTAGCCTCGCAGATCCAGTGCAAAAACAAAAAATGCAAATCTTGTTTTTGCATTTTTTGTGAACTTGTTTCGGCTGGGCAAATACATTTAGTGTGAAAGAGAAAACTGTGAACAATTCATAAGGAACAGCTCATACATGCCCTGTTAAACTTTTTGAAGTAAAAAGTCGATGTGGATGCTGAACTTTTCAGCACAGCAATATCACATTGTGTTACAACTTTAGTGTTCTGGGGTTTTGTGCACTTTGTCTATCAATGCAAGTACTTTACTTATCAAAGCATAAGAGTCATATTAAATATTAGCAATCATTTCTTTCCCAGGCGAAAAACATCACATACTATGTGACATTGCCATGTTCAAGAAGTTCTTAGTAAGTGTTATAAAAAAAGAAAAATAATGAAAAATGTAAGGATACAACTTACAAAGATACAATCAATGATGTCAAGCTATCAAATACACATCAACTAAAGAACGCTTGAAGAACCCCCTTTTTTAAGTGTGTAGCTTAAGCATTGTTTTTAGGAATGATGAGTACAAAGATGAGTATCTGATCCCAAAGACAAAGCAAACATAACTTACCAGTCACAAGAGGACAAATGCCAGTCATCACAAAAAAGAGTAAATAGCAAAGCACAGACTCCATGTTGTCTTCTGAAGCTTTCTGTAAATGAGACGTGAAATAAAGAACTGCAAGAGTGGCACCACATTTATACAGGAGGGGCAGGTCTGTTCAAGCAGAGGACATGACTAAGACCTTATGGTCACTGTGTAACAGCATATCAAACAAAGAGGATCAATGACCAACAATCCAGTGACTTGCTTAACAGACTGATTATTACCACTGTTTTCTCTCAGTCTTAGCAAAGAGTGAAATTTCAGATTTAGGCCTATAAATAATGAGCAACTATGAAGGTACTGTAAATAAGAGCTACTTAATTTTCTCTTAATCTTCCCATTTACTCTTTAATGTGTAAAAGAGAATTGATTTTGATATCACTACTGGTATTTTATAAAAAAAGACAATGCTCTATTAGATAAATAAGATAAAAACCAATCTAGCACAGTTCCTGATATGCAAACCCATTCAATTAGCCTGTTTTTCAAGATATCATGATCCACTGCATCAAAGGCTGGGTGAAGATCAAGCAGTAGTAAGAAGTAAACTTGTCTGGAGTCAGGGTGCATTAAAATATAATTCAAAATCCTCACATGAGCTGTCTCTGTGCTGCGCTTTTGGTGAAATACACATTAAAACTTTTCAAAAATGCTGTTTGCCTCCAATGCATGCAAGAGTTGATTTGAAACCACTGTCCAAAATTTGTGATAAAGGGAGGTTTAGAGATGGGTCTAAAGATTGAACAACATTAGGGTTAAGACCTGGTTTCTTAAGAAGAGGCTGCACACTGGCCACTTTAAAACAATCTGGAACACACCCTGAGTAATCTGGTCCATAAAAAACTTTAAAAACTGTTCACAACCAATGTAAGAAACATGAGTGTTCAGTTTAACACCATTCATGAGAGAATCAATAGTAGAAAATAACAACCTTTGGTTATGCTTATTAGCTGTAATTAAATCATTAAAATATTGAATCCCTAATTTTAGTGTTGTACAAAACTAACAAATCTTTCATATACATGTAATGAACCTGAACCTGGGACTGGTTCCATTTATGCTCTTCCTGTCTGCACTCTTTTCAAATGCACATCAGCATTTAGCCAAGGAGAGGGATTAGTTGATAGTTTTGATCTAATCTTAAACAGAGCCTAAATCTAGAATAGCCGAGCATTAACTGTTAAAACAGCCAGCCAAATCAGTAACATCTGCAAGTTGCAAAAACTGTGGAGCCGAACCTTTAAAAATAGTTGCAAATTTAGCAGCTGATTCTTCCTTAAAAAATGAGACCATGCAATGTTTTTAGGGTTCACAGCTTATGATCAGAAACACACATCTTCCAAACTGAGTTAATTAAGGCTAAGCCCCAGAGTAAAGAGCAAATGCAAAGTGTGCCCGCTATTATGAGTTGGGCCAGACACATGTTGCACAAAATTAAAAGATTCAACAATGTTTAAAAAGGTCAGTAGATAATAGAACAAAGCACTGGTTTATCACTTAGAACTTTGAAGGCCAGTAGCTCAAAACATGCAAAAGCACCCAGAGACACAGTGGAACAATTAAAACTGTTTTTAAAAACAGCAGCAAAGCCAACGCCTTGCCCATTTAATCTTGGACAGTTAAAATGTCCAACAGGCACAATTCAGAGAGTTGACAGCTTTCTCCTGGCTTAAGCAAGGTTTCGATTATAAACATAAATCCAGACCATTTGAGGAAATAAAGTCATTCAGCATAAATGTCTTATTCGAAAGCCATCGAGCACTAACAGTGCTAGTTTCACAGTAATGCAATAGCTCCAATGGAGATCCACAGGATATTTTCTGCAGATTATTGCAGTTGATAATTCCAGATCTGAAGAAGGGTTTCACTGGAGAAATACAGGGAAGTAGTTCAAACATATTCCTAATCATAAGTAATGGCCATAGTGACACAAACAATAAAAACATTGACGCAACAGGTAGAAGGGCACCTGAGTCTTTGCCACACACCGGTGCCATCTTGCCCTGATCTTGCTTTAAATTCAAACACTGCCATGCTGATAAACCAACTGATGGCTAGAGGCAATAACAGATAACCACGGTTACTAAGCAGCAAAGGGAAGGCTGAGAAAATACGTTGGAACTTAGTGAAAAGTGAAATTATTTGATTGGCTGTGATACAATGACAAAGAAAACAAATCCAATTTCATTATCTTAAAAAAGGCAGCTTAATAAATATTCTGTCCCCATATGGCTGGGTGGGTCTGGGATCAATTTTGGGAGAACCAGGCCCACCCAGGCCCACCCAGATTACATTTTCAAAAGAAAAAACATAATTAAATACAAAATATTTTACAGTACTGCGCTGTATATTATCAGTAAAAAATAGTAAAATAACATCTGTATATTGTGACTTCAATCACCTGGACTATAACATTACTGTGATGCAGCTGTATTCTCCTCTAAACTTACAGTAATTAAAATACTGTAATCTCCTGTATTTTTACATAACAACTGTAAAAGTAATGCAACTCAGTAGCCAGTAATTTACTGTAAATTTATATATTAAAAAAATGACTTTTAATTATACCAGAATTTATTTTTAAAAACTTGTAAATAAAATAAAAGATAAACTAAAATAAAATAAAGAAAAATATCACTGAATATATGGATTTGCTATCTTTTGCAGTGTATATGTACAGAATAAGTCAAATAAGCATTTTTAAATGCAAATACACATTTTACAGACAGTTTAACTTATAATGTGCACAAAACACGATTATTTACTACTGTGTCAACATCACAGCAGTAAATAATCCTCCAATATTAAGCTTTAACAGTCTTTAAAACACCAAATCCTGAATCTTCAGAATAAAAACACTTATATCAGAATAAAAACACTTAATATTTACTCCTTTTTAACGCTCAGTTGCTATCATATTTCATAATACTGTGCGGTACAGCTGAATGTTAATGTCACAGTAATTTGCTGTGTTATTACAGAACACATGTCAAGATGGATTGATTTAACAATAATATTATGATTACGTTATTTTACTGTGAAGAAATAATGATAAATATTGTGAAATCCTGGCAATAATTAACAGTGTACTTTGTACTCCTTTTTCATTTAAACCTTCAAAGAACTCATTATAAATCTTCATTTGAGATTTTGAAATTATTTTTTTAACAATAGGTTCTGTCTAGTACTGAAAAAGGTTTCTTGTAATACATTTGGAACACATTTTACTGCTACATAGAACCATTTTTAAAATTGTGCTTTAAAAACCATATGTTTATGCATTTAAATGGTTCTTTGAATGTTAATGGTTCTGTATGAACCATTCTACAAAATGAGTTCAAACTGCTTTAAAAACTGTTTAAATCAACAAATATGCACACCTTAGATAATTACAATGATTATGTTGATGATCTATTTAAACACAAGACATTAGTTGAGATAATAATAAGCTAAATATATACAAAATCATCATTTATGCTGTATTTTCTCTTGGGAGGTGGCTCTTCTAAACCCTAACCCCTAAATTTCAACTTGTGAAAATGATACTTACATTTTTTTCAGTGTTGTTTCAAGAAGGTCTTTTTGTTTTCTTTTCTTAAAGTGGAGCTGAAAGATTTAGTGATCATGAGTTTCATTTTTAAATGAAGAAAATGCTGTCCCATATTTTCATGTCACTACCGAAACACAAAGAATTGTAGTCTATTGGCGGAGCCTTATTTTAGCCACAGTTCTGCGTTTTAGAGTAGGAAGTGAGGCTGTATCCCTGTGTCACATGGGGAGCAGTTAGATCATTGTTTTGAAGTAAATGTGTCCCAAAATCTGAAAGACTTTAAGAATTGTCACTACCGAAAAGGCATATTTTGTGCAATTCAGTTAACTTTGTCATGTTTTGGTGAAAATATTATGATTTTATGTGTGTACAGCTGTTCAAAGCTGTGTCCACTAGTCAGGTACTGGATAGCATTTTTGAGTTCTGCTCACCCTTCCTGGATCGGGCCTTGTCGTGGCGGAAGGGCTTGTGTGGTCTAGGGATCTTCAGAGCTAAGTCGTCGGGAGCAACATGCTCCTGGTAGGGTCTCCCAGGGCGAACAGGTCTGGAGTGAAGACCCAGACTAACTCGATCCAAAAACCTCCATGAAAAACGGACGCAAAACATCGTGTACCCTGCCCGGGAGAGGGTCACCGGGACCTACCCCTGGAGCCAGGCCTGGGGGTAGCGTCCCTCGGCGAGCGCCTGGTGGCCGGGCAGCCCACGTAACCCGGCCGGGCTCAGCCCGAAGAGGCAACGTGGGGGGACCATGTGGGCCCACCACCCGCAAGGTCCAGCATGGGGGAGTGGTGCAGTGCCGTACAGGCAGTGGGAGATTGCAGGGGGGCCCTTGGTGGCCTAGGCCCCTGCGGCAGAAACTGGCTCTTGGTACGTGGAACGTAACCTCACTGGGGGGGAAGGAGCCGGAGCTTGTGCGGGAGGTTGAGAGGTACCAACTAGATATAGTTGGGCTCACCTCCACCCACAGTATCGGCTCTGGAACCAAACTCCTGGATAGGGGTTGGTCCCTCTCCTACTCCGGGGTTGCACAAGGTGAGAGGCGCCGGGCGGGTGTGGGGATACTCACGAGTCCCCGGCTGGCGGCAGTACAGTTGGAGTTTGTCCCGGTGGACGAGAGGGTCGCCTCAATGCGTATTAAAATCGCAGAGAGGAAAACTCTGACTGTTGTGTGTGCTTATGCACCAAACAACAGGTCGGAGTATTCGGCCTTCTTGGAGCAAGTGGGCGGGGTTCTGGAAAGGGTCCCAACTACAGACTCCATAGTCTTACTGGGAGACTTCAATGCTCATGTTGGCAATGACTGGGAGACCTGGAGAGGCGTGATTGGGAAGAACGGCCTGCCCGATCTAAACCCGAATGGTGAATTGTTATTGGACTTCTGTGCCAGGCATGGATTGTCCATAACGAACACCAAGTTCGAACACAAGGATGTTCATAAGTGTACATGGTACCAGAGCTCCTTGGGTCAAAGGTCAATGATCGACTTTGTTGTCGTTTCATCTGACTTGGGACCATATGTTCTGGACACTCGGGTGAAGAGAGGTGCTGAGCTGTCAACTGATCACCATCTGGTGGTGAGTTGGATCAGATGGCAGGGAAGACTGA